ATTTCATTTAGCCAATCATGCAGGGCATGAACGTGAGTTCGAAACTCCAACTCCAACACTCCAAACAGATCAAGGCGCCACACTGGCCAAAATTACCAATTGCGTTTCCCAAACCAAGATGTAGCGGCAAACCACACCGAATATTTGCCAGCTGACCCTTTCACGGAGTTGTTCCCCAGATAGTGAGAGCTATTCGGGGTGGTCATACTTCAAGTTTAGGAAAAGGTGCCTGTGTGCGCTTTGGAAACTCAGTGCTGGTGCAGGGTGCCGCTGCCAGATGTCTATGGCCGTGTGCACTTTGGAGCCTGGGTGCTGGTGACGTGTGGTCGTGTAGCTGCTGCTGGCGTCACTTTTTGATGAGCGCAGTTCTGCACTCATACGAACTGACCAAAAACCAACTGACCACAAATCGTGTGGTTCAAAGGCGGTGCGGACTGTTTGAGCATCAAGATACAAGGACGGTGGTGGTCCAAGCAGGTGTGTTGGGACAGACTTACGTACACTTGCTGCATGTGCAGTTTCACAGCTCTGTGTCGATGTTGGAATCAGTTGTTTTTGTTTAGTTGGCTGCTTGATTCTGCAGAAAGTTCCATGTCATGCTTGCACACTTGATGTTTGGGCTTGATAGTTTAGCGTAGATGAGATCAACATTGGAATACTCATAAACATGGACCAAAAATAGGCTGCCAGCGATCATGCTAGCACCCAGTGAATCCAAGTCCAAACGAAATCCAGTGAATTTTCCTCTCAGGAGGTTGTGAAACTGACTGACTCAAAATTGGTAGCTGATTTTGCATAGATTCTATTTTACAATGTAAACAGGACAAACATGATGCAGTGGACGGGTTTTTGTTCTTTGTTCGATGTCTTGTCTTCAACCAGTCTTGCTGGGATTGTTGGACACTCATCACATCCGGCGATTGTGGGTGTCATGCCGACACCGACTGCCTCGAAAGAATTCCAAAGTGAATTCTTGAGACTTCATGAGGAGAGCCCTCTGTCCAGGGGCCGTGGTGGAGTGGATACGACAGGGTCCGAGGGCAAGTCTTTGCAGTCCTGCTCAATGGCTCAATCCTAACCTTCTTCACACAAAGACTCATTTTCTGTCTCAACTCTACCACCCACCCCAAAGATAGAAGCTGGTGGTAGTTCTTTTAGCCTGCCAAGTGGTCTCCTCTTCGCTTTTTGGGCATGGCCGTATACGAAGAGGGACCATTCCATGCAGTCAACAGACCGGTGTAGGTAGATTTTTCTTTGCATACCAGTGCTCGGAGAGGAATATGAATCATGGGCGCCGCTCAGTCAATGCAACATACTGAATCCTGCCCCTTAACACCAAGGCACGACCCACGAGCAAATATGAGGGATGCTCAAAGATTTCCATTGGAATTGGAGTTGAACAGTCGGGTACAACGTTGTAGGGGCTTCAACTGCCTGATGACATTCATAGTGATCAATCTGATCATTTGTGGAGATTGATGGTAGAGTTCTCCGTCCATGGCGCTCAAACAGAGTTCTCCATGGGTGGATGCCAGATTTCAGCGTTCCCTCCTTGCCACAAGCTTCAGGAGCTTCAAAACGAGCTGGAACGGCTTCACGTGCGGCTGGCACGCGTGGAAACGCATCTGAAGCTGGACATTCCACGCGATGACGCAGTTGAGGTGATCACGAACTTGCAGGAGTTGACGAGAGTGTCGGGCCACACACGGCCGGCGGGGCGTTGAGGAGTTTTGGCTCGAAATCAGCTTGTGATTTCGTCGCTTGTTTCGACAAGGATTGATCGCTTGCAAGGCCTGAAGGTCCCCCCGGACGCGAAACCCCTTTGGAGGAGGTTCCGAGGCAGGCTGCTTTGGATGCAACGGAGCTGAAGGCGACCAGTGGAGCGGAGGACGCAGATGATGAGGAGGGGAGGAGGGGTGGAGCCTGCTGGAGGCGGCACGCAAGGGCCACGGAATCAGTTGAGAAAGTGGAGATTTCGCTGGAGACTTCCGCATGAACAGGTCCAACTTTGAACATAGAGGCAAGGAAAACAACGACTTCTACGCCCCTTGGTGGTGGTGAATTATGACTCCAGGTGGGGTAAGATGAGTCATTGGAAGCTCTGGGGATTTGACATTTTTCTTCATCCCAAGGATCCAATTTCTTCTCCCTGTTTTGATGATCCTCGAATGGACACAGCTAACACAATGGAATTGGATAAGCACCTCTTTATGAAGAAAGATCCTCTTAAAGAGGAGCTATGCCCGCTATCTATGCCTGTGACTCGGACGGAGGTTTGCCGGTGACACTTGAAGAGAATGGAAGACTTGACGGATCTCCTCTGTTGGGGTCTTTGCACACGGCCCTTTTCTGTCTCAAAAGCCTGGTTCCGGGACGGAGAGCATCGCCACCTGTCGCCCAACGCCAGGGCCATGTGCACCAGATCCACTTCGGCGAAAGCGCCTGGAGCTTTCCGTTGGTTCTGGGCTTGGCCACCGCGGGCCCCTGGGATGTGAGCTTCGCGCTGCTCTTGCTCTTCTTGAACTTGGGCGGCTCGGGCTGGTCGGCTCGGGAGGTCTCGAGAACTGGTCCAAAGCCATCCAAACCTGATCCGATCCGATCCAAACCCCCAAGTGTCTCGAGGCATGCAAGTGGCCTTCTCCGTGATTATCATGACAGAGGAGCGAGTGGGACCTTTTCATCGGTCGCAACCTTGCTCGGTGACGTGAAAAGGCACCACAGGCCGCCACAGGCTGTGGCGGCCTGTGTCGTTTGGCCGCCAAAAGGGGGTTGCTTGGAGGGCCCACTGAATCACTGCATACTACTCAGCCATAACCTCTTATATAAAAACTAATGCACCCTTATTCCAGGGCAGGTGTGGGACCCTGTAAGCTGGATCAACTGCGAAAGCCATCTGACGAAGCCACGGCCGAGGTGAGTGGTCCTGGCAAAGAAGATCGGATTTCGCATCCAAAGGGGCAGAAACAAAATTTTTTTGAATGATGTAGAATCTTTCTTGAATGTGGCGTGTCACAACATCTTTTCGGTGTTCTTCTTTTTGAAACGGACCGAAGACGGTGGTGTTTGAGTTCATCTTGCGCAGCACCGAAGACGGTGCCGATTTTTAGAGTGAGGAAAGAAAGGATGGCATTTCATGCATGGTTTTCTACTTTCATGTTATACAAACAACGTGTACAGACATACAGCTTTTTGTTGAGGGACTTGATCATATGATGTCTTCCAACTTGAGCAAACATGGGAGCAAGAACGTTTTGTGAGGGCCTGGCTACCACGTTCATGTAAGCAGACCGAGTGAAAAATAGCGACCCAAATTCTTTGGATCCGAATTGACCTCAGTGAAGATGTTTCCAACGTCTTAGCATCCGAATCCGCACCAGTCATCCATGCCACCAGGACGAGGCATCTCATCTACTTTCTTTCTTGTTGATGCATCGGTGTGGAGACTGTGTGTGTATGTGGAGGACTTCATGGGCTCTCCGTTCGTGAAACAGATCCCGTTCGCTCAAAGGCCAGGCTGAGACATGGGGATTGCAACCTGAGGCTGTTGAAAGACTTCACATGAACTTTAGGAGGTGAAATTTTCAGTCTTCAAACAGTCTTCGTAGCACGCAATAGTTGGAGTTTGCAGTTTGCAGCTCTTGCTTCTGCAACATGTCTTTTAGTTTCTTCTTGGGAAGAGGGAGGCTACCTGCAAGGTTTGATTTAAGGTTTGATTTGGTGCTCGAGCTCGAGCCAGTAAGATGCCAACTTGCCTGCTGGTGTCAAAAAGACACGACAACCAGGTGTTCAGTCTTCTTCTCGTTGGGATGACAAGAGATCGAATCGTCAATGCCAATGCGTTCTTCTATTCACAGAATCGTCAAACACATTTGCAGGAACGAGGCATCTTTTTTTCGCCAAGTTGTTTGGCCCTGAGAGTAACTACGACTATGGTCTTGAGTTGTATTCTCAAACGGGTGCATTTCTCAGCTAGTCATCAGGTGGCTTTTCACTCGACCATCTAGATCCCGTTTCTGGATCCCTGTCTCAAATCACCTTCTCGGGCCTGTCGGTGGCTCTCGATCCTGCGAGAGCACCGTGTGCGGCCCACGCCACCGGCCACGGCTTTCAGATGGCGCACGAGCATCGCGCACGACAAGCAGTACATGGACCTCAGCGAGACCTCCTTGGTGAGCCGGGTCTGCCAAGGCGATGGCTCTCTGATCCTGTCGACCACACAGGCGCTTTCGTCTCGACCATGTCGCTTCGCTGGGAACGAAGCGCTGTGCGAACGAAGACGGATGCGTGGACCCTGTTCGTGGGGCGAACTCATGTGGTTTTGATGCGTCCGAACTCCTTCGCTGGACGACTCGCAGTCGTCCACCATGCTGATTTCGTGCGTGCGAACGCTGCTAGCTGGCTTCAGCTTCACTGCAACGAATCCGTCCAATTGCCCCAGGCAGTGTGCATGACCTACTCTCCCTGTTCTCCCGAAAGGTTTCGTGAAATGCTGCGATAGATCCTTCGGTTTTACAACGACTTGTCCCTTCTTTAGGCAGGTCCGATTCGATCGCACCATGGCTTGACAAAGATGCCTTGTTTGGAGGAGCTGCTTCCAAAAAAAAACTTGCTTCGTGGTGCAGCCTGAGTATTTCGCTTTGGGGTATACAGACCTTCCCCCTTCCTGAACTCTGGTCAGATGCCTTAGCTAGATTCCACTGACAAATCTCCTCCCCTGCATACAAATCTCCACCCCAGGGTGTCCGCAAGCCTCGCTCCCTGCAAGGCAACATTGATCGATCAGATCAATAGTTTTCTGAGTCTCAGCTTCGACGAGTTTCAACCCACCTTCGGGCAAACGGGCACCTTGCTTTGTGGCACGGCCCGCACCAAGGGGAAAAGGGGCTGGATTCCAAGGAGCAGGTTTTGCAGGAAGGATTCGGAAGGCTCAACCACTGCAGGGTCTACTGCGTTTTTCGGCATCGTTTGCGAAGCTCAGCCGAGAGAAAGTGGATGTCTAGGACCCCCCCAGTGGATGTCTAGGACCTCGAAAAACAATGTTCTTTTCACAATCTTTTTAATTCTTTTTTGCAAGTGATATATGGGTGTGTAGCAGTTCGGGGGAGACCTCCCAGGCAACGACCCTCGTACAGAATGACAATGCCCCTCATGTCCAAAGCTGTTCCCTTTCCGCAGCCATGCAATGCAGATGAGGAATTGGGTGCAACAGACATGTAGAATCGAGGCCTAAGTCAATGCGACCGGTGAGATGAAGTCATAGTCTCACCAGATGAAGTGGGGAATCCCCACAAATCATAGCCGCCTCTTATGCAGATTACGTTTCTGTTGACCCACAAGACACCGCACATCATCACCGCACATCCCTGCAAATTGGGCAGCCCTGATTTCACGACACCAACACCACCTGATCACCACATTTCATTTCCCATCCAAGCAGTTGAGGAATGAATGAGTGGCTGAAACGTAGTGAAATGACATGACATGACATGAACGAATGGATAGATGGATGGATCAAGGAGTTGAATCCGAGTTTTAAATGGCCAAGCTCTCCAAAACAAGTTTGTTGTGTCCCCAGAGTTTATTGATGCTGGGCCTCCTGCGGCATACCTTCCTTCCGACAAGCAAAACAAGACTTCAAGACTCCAAAGGCGCAACAAGGCGCAAGGTGCTGATGTTGGACAGTCCTTGGACATGGGCAAAAATGCCAAAAGCTTCGGCTTCCGCATCTGAGACCCGCTCAGCTCAGGCATGCTATGTATTTTGCTTTGGGCCTTGTGCGTTTACAAGGAGTATCGGAGCGTTTGGTTAGCCCTGGAGGCGATTTGGCAAATCCCTCGAAGCTGGTCGACCGACTTCCGCCACAACCGCTTTTACAGCATCAGCAAAGGCGAGAACGGGAGACCAGGGGAGGAACGAAGCCGTTTTGAAGGGAGAACCGTTCGAGAAGGAGCGGACTTTGTGGTTTCTGATGATCAACATGACGTGGAAACACGGTCTTCTTGATGGCAAGAACCCTCAAGGGACATGGTAGAAGAAACCAAGTGTTTGGTGATTGATTGGACACACCAAACCTCCCTGCGGGAGGAGATCGTTCCACAGCACCTCCCGGACCGCGTGGATCGAAGTGCGTCGGCGGGTGGCCGGCTCCTGACTCCTTGGGCCCTTTATCGAAGGGCAACCCTGCTGATCTGAAGCCATCTCAATGGTCTCAACGGTCTCCTTCGGATGTTTGGTCACTTGGTCACCTTTTCACCAAGCATTGATAGGAAGCAGCCGGAGATAGGATGTCCTCAACGCAAACATCCAAAGAGAGGTGGAGGTCTCAAAACCGAAAAGATCTGACCCACCGGATAATTTGAGCACTCCTTTGGACCAAACGACAGCAGACTGTTATCCCCACTGCTGCCGTTCTCTCGTTTGTCTGTGATGTTCTTTTGTTTCGAAGGTCGTCTAAAGCTGGTACTCTTCACCTTGCTTGCGCGTGTCCTCATCGCCTCGTTGCTTCTGGGCGCCGGGATCCGCTGGCTGGCGCAGACCACATCCATCACTGAGCCTTGCTCGGCGTGGGGTTTCCCGCTGGAGGGACACAGACGTTGATGTGGAAGATGAAGTTGTGGGAGGTGGTCTTTTTAGGTCATTGTGTAGCAAACTTTGAAGCTAAGGCTTCAGGTTAACATTTCTGTGGCTGGAAAGGTTTTAGGGTGGACTGTGATGGTGCTCGGCATCGCCAAAAACGGCGATGGTTCAAGGTTCAACTCACGCGAAATCAGATCAACAAACGTCCGTCCTTCCTTCACGGTGCCGTACACTGCGAAGGAACTTCCTCACATGGAGGTGGAGTGAACACCGGCGCTTCCACGGAATTCTGTGTCTTCGGAGGTGAAAGCCAAACGAGTTTGGGCGGCGCAGAACCATCCAGGGATTCCATGTAGGAAGAACACGTGTACGGAATTCATTCCCACCTCCAACCTCTTCTTTTTCGCCGCGAAAAAGCTCCAGTCTAGACCAGACTCGAGACTGATCGTTTCTACGCGCCGCGGCGAAGACCGCGTAGGAACTGATGCTGAATGCCGTGGCCTTGAACGCCATCTTAGACGTGGACGAGTTCCTCTTCGCAGGCGGGTGCTCCGTTTGGAGCGTTGGAGACGGACGGTTGGAGCCGTGAACATTCGATAGTCCATTCGATAGGAACTCCGCAACAGTAGGATGTTCATATCTACCGTTTTCTCTGACCGTTTCATCGTGAATAGTCAAGGTTTGATCCATACCAAGAAATTCATATCTACCAAAGGACTTTGAAGATGTGGTTCTTCCTGCTACTGGATTCCTACAGATTGTCTGTCATGTCTTCAGGTGGTGCAGGTCACAGTTGAAACAAAAAGAACAAGGATTTTTGACAATGGTCGTATTCCTCTCTAGTCAACACCCAGGCCTCTATTTTTTATTGCAAAGATGAGCGGGTCTACACAACTTAAATGGGCGTGCATTCCAAACCCTACTCACTCCAACGCTTTTTGAGGTGAACATCACGCAGTATCTATAGATTCTAGATGCCAAAACAAACAGGAGCCTGCAATCTTGTGGGCCCTACAGCGGCATCATGTGTATCACTGCCACCTGATCAACGCCCTGGCCCGAAAACGAGGAAAACAGCCCCTCGTGTTGCCCTTTTCAGCCAGGCTTCACACCCATCACGATCCAACTGGCAGTGCAGAATCTGGAGCCCTTGAGGATGAAGTACAGCCGGAGGCCACACCTGGGGTGCTGGAGTGCTGGGGGAGGGGGGCTTAGGCCCTCCACGTCTGTGTCTGGCCGCACGCGAATTCGCAGCGACGTCGAACCCGCAGAGAAGCGGGGGGGTTCATGGCCCGGCAGAGAAACAGACCCGAATGCACTGTGTTGGAACAGTCATGGTGACCTGGTGGTCGAAAGTGACCGAACTGATGGGCTCGTTCGGTCGATCGGTCACGGAAGAAGCGGATGGGGTGGATGGGATGGGCCATGAACATCGGATGACCATCGTCATGTGTCGAAGTGCGACTCTCTTCGGTCGAAGTGAGACGACGGCATGGAAGGAGAGACGGAAGGAGCCTCTCTTCTGCGCGAAAAAGGGTGCGACCTGAGGGATGCCACGGAATTAAGACCTAGAGCCATCGAAAAGAGCTGAAGCAATGAAGGAACTCGTTTAAACCGACAGATCACTTGACATGAACCTTCTGTGAACTTGGATGTGTCTACATGACCCTCGCCTTCATTCCTTTCTCGCCCCCACTCCAAGAAGTCAACTCAACCTTGGTCCACCTAGATTCAGGCAGAAAACAACTGAACACCCACACACACACACACACATAGATCCACGTGCCGTTCTACACCTGTACTGAAGTATGGCGCCATATATGTGCGAATGTCTCGATCGAATGCGTGCTTTCCACGCGCCAAAGGATGGTGCAGTGCCCAACCAGAGAAGAAAGCCCCCCATCGACTACGACAGTTGCCGGATCCCGGCCGTCACGCGTGACCTGTTGCCGTGAGGCGGAGCCAAGCAGAGTCGCTGTTCCTCTTCTGTTTGCTCTTAGCCACCTTTTTGGTGCCCTACTTTTCGCTCATTCAGCCATTGGTGGAGTCCATGGTGGCGGTGAAGTATGAGCTCTGTGGGGGCAACCAGTCCTTCGTGGTGGCGCGGAATGCGGAGCGACCCATGGGGGTGGATTGCACATGGGCCAGGTGCTTGGGACTTTGGCACCAGTGGCCGGAAAACCCCCTGATCATTGAAACAAAGCTGTCTAGGGGTGGAGGCCATCGCTCTTAGGTTGGAGGCCAATCGCTAGTAGGTTATGGTCTGCAAGTTGGTGTCGATGGACTCTGAGTTACTACGACGATCTTCACCGTCCCAAAACCGTCTTCAACGTCGGATCCCGGACCTCTGACCGGATGACCATTCGCATGACCGAGTGGGATGTGGGGGAAAACAAAGCAATCGCCAGAAGCTCGTTGGGATGGATGGATGGATGGATGGGTGAATCACCATGTGACTTCCTTCATCCACAGAAGTCGCAAACACATACATACAACAGTGGCGATTCTTCTTCAGGCAAGACGCATGTCGAATGGTTCAACAAGTTGTCTCGTGACACGTGACGTGATTTCTTCAGCGTCCCTCCACTTTGCCCAGGGCCCCAAGGCTTAGACCACACACAGCTTTCAAGGAAGGTTCCCATTACTTTGACCTGTTAGGTCCTTCCTCCATGCTGGCTCGACGGCTCCAGCTGGCTTGGGCTTTCCGTGCAGGAGACCCAGCTGGTGCTGGGGCTGGTGACGCAGGAGGTGCAGAGCGCAGAGGTGGCCGGCGAGCTGTCCGTGGTTGAGGCTGCGGTGCAGAGTCACAAGTTTCGCCCTCCCACCGAGGCGCAGCATCCTTTTCTCTCGCATCGCGCGCACGCGTGGGTGTGGCACGGGGGGGTGGAGATCGTCGTGAGGTGTGTGGTTACCTGGTGGCGGGGGGGAACAAAGTGTGCCTGAACATATGTTACTTTGCAGGATAGGATCATCCCAAGAAGTTTTGCAGTTGGTGTGGAGGGTGGCGGCTTGGGATGGCTTTTGGTGGTTGTATTGGTTGGGGTCTATTTATTGATTCTTGCGGTTGACTTGTGATAACTGTGTGCGTTTGTGTCACACCCTGTACCAAAGGCCACTTGTCCTGACTCGTTCGAGCAGGGGCGTGTGACACTCTTATCCTATCACACGCAATGAAGCTGTGGATAAGAGTGGGAATGGAAACTTGGCGGCCATAGCTGGGAGCTACGGTGACTTTTCTACTCTACCGGGTGATTCTTATGTCTCGCCCGAAAACAGGAGGCAGGGTTCGTCGGCAGACTTGTCTACTCTAATGGAGCGATTACAAACAACAGGAGGCTCTATTTTTTTTAAACATCCTTAGAGCGATTCATATGTCTCGCTCCCTTATGGAACCTATATCTCTATGCATGCCGTTAATTCAAGAGTGCTAAGTATTCAGCAACTAGTTTCCGAATGCTTTGTTGAAGCACCTACAAGCACGCTGACCTTTCACCTTTCCGTTCACCATTAGCTAGCCAGTCAAGTGCCTTGCACTCCCGGATTCTCACTCGGATGAACTCTATCAAAGTGTGTGTGTGTGTGACACCCTTGGAGTCACAGGGAACCTCTTGATTATTTTGCAGGCGTGCAGCATCTGTGATCTACTGCCCGCAACGAAGCTATGATCACAGATGGCAAGGGATCAAGGACGCTTAATCCTGTACCTGCTTGAGAACACACTGACTCCAATGGTTCGCCCTTGCTCAGGCTGTTTCCAGGTACACCAGGTCGACGTAAAGTGCTAATGTGACTTTGAGTTTTGTGCCTGAACTTTTGCGTTTTGGTGTCCTCAACTTGGAGCTTTGGTGTCCTTCAGATGGCCAGACCGCACTACATACTACCAGGCAATTTTTTCACTTAGGCTTCTTCAGGGCTTGGGGCGATCAGTTCAGTACGCAGTATCTCGAGTGTGTCTGGCCTTTGTGCCAGCCCGAAATGAATCCGAGGAGGTCATGGCCCCGTTGAACGGGGGTTTGTCCATCCTACGCCCGGGACCAGAGTCGCTCGAAGCGAGCAGAGTGGGCTTAAGCCACACGTTATGCCAAGATTTGCTGGATTATTGAACCTTGGCAGCCCTCGGAAGTGTCCATAGCGGACAGCAGCGGGCTTAATGCCATGGTGGCCGCAGCGGCCAGTGTTTCTCAAGGCCCATTGGGATCTGTCGGAGCCTTCTGTGCACATACGGCGTGCGCATACCAAACCAGGCTCGGTCTGCCCAGGTTCGCCTTAATGAGGTTTGGTGTCCTTGGTTTCCGTCCCCTCCGTTTCGTTCCCTCCTTTTCCCCTTCTCACATACTTTGTTTCCCTTTACGTTTCATGTCTTTTCCGGCTTCATGTCCCGTCACCTGCCCCCATTCCGTTTTTTTGCGCGCGCATCGATCCGGCCCTTAGCATGTACGCGCACATCTAGTTTCAAATCCCCTTTTCATGTTTGTTTGCATTTTTTTGGCCTTTTTGCACGTGCGCATGCACATTAGTCTGCCCCTCAGTTTTTGGCTCCCCACGTGAGGGAGCCTCAAGATTATTTTGCAGGCGTGCAGCATCTGTGGTCTACTGCCCGCAACGAAGCTATGATCACAGATGGGAAGGGATCAAGGACGCTTAATCCTGTACCTGCTTGAGAACACACTGACTCCAATGGTTCGCCCTTGCTCAGGCTGTTTCCAGGTACATCAGGTCGTTGTGCCTGAACTTTAGCGCTTTGGCGTCTTCAATTTGGAGCTTTGGTGTTCTTCAGATGGCCAGACCACACTATATACATACTATGTGTTTTACCCAGGCAATTGTTCTTCTTCAGGGCTTGGGGTGATCAGTTCAGTACGCAATATGTCGAGTGTGTTGGTTGTCTGTGCCTGTCTGTGTGTGGGGGGTTTGGGTTGGATTTGTGGGATTTGTGTTGCTGAACTACGGGAGTAGCTACGGGTGGTTTTTATGCGTCCATGGTCGTCAGCCGTTAAGCCCTCGAGGCGCCGGAGTTGATATACTTCCGAAGCACCTCCAAGCTCTTCAGTGCCTTCTTGGCGCGTGACATGTCCCAGGATTTCGACTGGTTGGCAGGTTTTTGGGCAGGGGATTTCTCCAGAGGTTGTCGGCTGGTGAACCTAGAGGGTTATGGTAACATCAGAAAGTCCCATGCCCTTATCTTGAAACATTTCAATCTTGATGGTCCCTCCTACATCCAGACACATATTTCTCTTGTGGTACGATGGTTTCACAATCGGTATCAGGCTGTCTAACCACTGCCAAGACGAAACATGTGAAGCCTCATAAGCAGCAGAATCATCTCCCTGACAAACACTTTCGATCAGCCGATGTCTTGGCCAAAACAGGGAACCATGGGATCTACTCTTCCCTCTCTCCATCTCAAACAGTCCATCTGAAAGAACATGGTCTTATCCGCTCGGTCTGGAGTGGACGACCGGGTCCATGTTTTTTCACCTCGTTGGGACCTGACCGGAGGTGGTGTCCTTCGGCAGCGCTTTGCTTTGAACGAGTCATCGACCCTGGAAGGTCTAAGGTGCAAAAAGGTTCGGCATCGAGTGAACAAGCTGCGGTACATTGGTACCTCTGTGTGACGGTCCTGGTCCTGGTCGTGGATCCTTTTCCATTCGACCGTTCGTGGAATGGGTGCGACTTGCCGTTCGTGCCGTGTCGAAACGGCGAGGAGGTAGCTGCTTGGGCTTTCTGCATCGAGACCGAAGCATGGTTTCTGGGTGTCAATTAGCGGGCGTGTGTCGGATGAGTGGGGTGTCCCAGTTGGGGATGTTGGCCCGAGTTTTGCGGAGTTGGCGTTCTAATGGCTTTCTACCTACCTTATGACTTTGTGTTGGTCTTCTGAGTTGGCTTCCATGGTCCACAGGTTTCCGAAATTGACATCTTTACTCCTGGCAGAACAAGTAGACAAGTATGTTGTCAAAAAGAATACAGTACAGGAAGAACAAGATATGAAAAAGGAAGGTCAGGCCCCCTGAAATGTGGGGGGCCAAACTTTCCTTTTGTATTTTTTATCTTTCACTTGATTCCTTTTGTCTCATTTGTGTGCAGAAGCTTCCGGCATTTTACGACAAGATTTTGTAGTGGCCATGAGTGCCCCATGTTCCCGCTCCGCTCTAATTACTATGGAGACCTCAAAACACACATGTTATGCCACGCTCGTCGCTCGTGTGCCGGGGACCAGTCATGTCTTTTTCTCCCTCTCCCTTCGTCCCTTCTCTCTCTCTCTCTCGCGCGCGTTCGTTTTGCCCCATTCCCGGCCTCTTCCCGCTTCGGGTTGAAGAAGGACGCTCCGCCGAGGCAACCCGAAGGGACCTACTACCAGGACCCTCTGGTCACGCTGCTGGTGGAGACGCTGCGCCGCAACGCGGCCGCCTCGCTGGGCCTGGCGCCGCGCGGGCCGTCCGGGCCTTGGACCTGCGCGGAGCTGAAGAGTCACTGCGACCGACCCGAGGCGAGGCGCCGTTCGGCGGGCGGGAAGCCGTTGGAGCGCACGGATGCACGGATGCGATGCATGGCGAAGTCAAGAAAGCGATGACGGGGAATCAGTTTTGTTTTGTTTTTTTTGTATGTTCTGTTCTTTTTTTGGGGAGCATGGCAGTTCATGGCAGGGGGGTTGAATGAGTGGGTTTTGGTTTGGTGGGTTGATGCGGGTTGTACAAAGGATCTTTCAGGAAGTCGAGGTGGGCATCAGGGAGGTAACTCCGGGATATCAGGTGATTTGGTTTGAATTGTTCGATATCAGGTGCAAACTCAGGGATTGTGGGTTCAGCAGATTGCAGGGAATTGGGCCTGGGAGCCTGGGACGGCGATTTTCTCCCTGTGAGGCGAACATCCAACTTTCGTCTCCTTCCATCCCATCTGAACTCCTCCTGGTTGGCGTCCGCTGGGGCAACCCCATGAGTAGCGCTTTTTTTGGGCTTCCAGGCGTTATGGGCCAGGGCCGCCTGGGATGGTTTCGGATCGCCAGGCACGTTTGCTGCGCATGGTCTGCGGGGTCACGTGCGGCTGTAGCGATCCCTACAGCAGCCCCTGGCACAAGGTGCCTTCGCAAGGCTGTGATGAAGCCTGCTCGCAGGCTCCACCGCTTGTTTTTTTGGCGCGGGAGGTGCGATTCGCGCGCTGCATGCGAATCTCAGAGTGAGCATCTGGGTGCTAGGTCAAAAAACGGCTGACGTTTGTGTGGATGTTCCCTGTGACACATGGCCCTGGCTTTTGGTTTATGTCCAATCACGATTGATCATTCTGAATCATTCTCTAAGGTGAAAAGAAGATCGGGGAGTCGCTTGTTTGCCGGGCCGTGCGTTCCTTTTTTCCTCTCTAAAGATATCCGTTCACCATTGCGCATTCTTCAGGTGGGCATTGACTACTTGGCTACAGCTCCATGCGAGGATCAAGTTGATTTGGACGCGTGGCAGTTCTCTTGGGACGTGTCCCGGCTGGAAAGTCTTTTTCAGCCGTTTGCATCTGGAAGACTTGCAGTGGCCATGGTTGCTGTTTTGGGGACAATGCTGTTGCCTGCCATCATCAAGTGGGCCTCCCGAAACAAGGGATAAACGGGCTCAAATAGAATCTTTTTAAGTTTGAACCCACGTGGTGCAACGATTCAGGCCTATGCTGATATGATGTCAGCCTTCTACGGCTCCAATGTCTCCACCAGTGCCGTCTTTCCGCTGATCCAGAGGAACCTGGCCACTCTAAAGGTGGGGTTCCCCAGGGTGCTGGGAGCTGGTGGAAGAAGGCGAAAACCATGAGCCCCCACGCCCAGAACACGTCAGCCATGGCATGCCATGGTAATCAAATCGCTCTTAGGTTGGAGGCCACCGCGTCTAGGGTGGAGGCCATCGCTCTTGGGTTGGAATGATCAAGTCACATCTTATGCCATGCCCCCCAAACCTTTAGACCTAGCCGCCTGGCTGAAGGCAAGGCGGGGGGGACTCGCGGCGGACGCTGGGAGGCCGTCGGCTGCCCAGCCCTGTTGGAACCTTCACTGCGCAACGAGTTCGCGACGCAGCAGAGCTGGTGCCAGGCGAGGGCAGCGGGAGTCACGAGAGGGCGGAGGCCGCCAGGGTCTCCTCGCGGTTGTTCCAAAGTCTGGCTAGTGTCACCACTACGAGATGATGTATGAGATGATGTATAGTATAGCTAACTCTTTATAGATCTTCCAGAATCCCTCCAGAAGCAGCTTGCGAAAGTGAGGGGTCGCTGCGTCAGGGCTTCGACAAACTCTGGCGACCCTTCGCCTACATTTGCCCAGTGACGTGGAGGGATACATTTCGGAATGGTCCCGCCGCTGCGTGGGGGACGCATTGTTTGGGACTGCAGGGGGTGACACTTTGGATCTTCCCTGCAGTCCAAACGCTGAAGGGTCCAAACCCTGATGTCACCCGTGTGCTGTCAAGTTTCAGGGTCTGTTGATTGGTTGATGTCACCCCGCTTGTGCGCGTCGACCAGCGTCTCCAATCTCCGAAGGGGCGGCGATTCGGTGATCGGAGTGGGAGGCGCCTCCCACGCGTCCAGAAAGGACGGACAGCAGGAAGATGCAAGTCTCTTTCGTCTGTCGGGTGGTTTTCCAGTGACACCCCTTTCATGGCCAATGTTGGTTGTTTCCTTGCACACTTTTGGGATACTTGACTTGATCAAAAGATCGCCTGCCGGGAGGCTTTGACTTGCCTCTTTTTTGGTGGGAACCTTAGGTGTTGGGATATGAGACTTTCGGGCTTGGCGCTTCAAAGGTGTTCTTTTTTCCCAGCCGCTTCGACTGATCTCACAGTCTTCACTCCGTTGTTGCCGTTGATCTCAGGTGAGTTGTGGCTGTGCCAGTGCACATCCCTTGCCACCCTGGTGCCCACAGAGCTGTTGGAACCACAGCAGGTGAGGAGAGATCCAAGCGACTCATGGAAGCAACGCCCCAGAAACTGGCCGAAAGCGGCAGCGCCCCTGAAACCAGCGTTTGGGGCAGGCCAGCCATGTTTTGCCCATGGTAGATGTATTGCTTCGCTTCTCCAAGTGTCAGGATACGCATGAAGTTCTTGACCTGGTGTAGGATACGCATCAGAAGCCATGCTGCTTTACAGATAATGATAGAGCTCATGCGGCTGGTCGAAACACATAGGCGTGGTCTACACCGTCGATGACCGAAAAGCTGCAAAACTGATCCCGTTTTCAGGGGTGTACCATGAATGGACTTTCTAGGATTTTGGTCGGGCAGACACTTTCTGGGAGAGCGTATCAATCCTAGATACCATTTGTACTGTCACTTGCGCTCCCTTTCTTTGATATTAACATAAATCTTCATAGGAAAATCAATGCCTTGGAATTTAGAGGCAACATTGTGGATCTTGTGAATTGTTCTTTGTGGTTTTGGGCCGTACACACACAGCAATTCTTCCAAGCCGCGTGGGTGAACTCAGCAAACTCTTGTGACGAGTGATTTGCGACGATTTCGAAGACCACATGCCAAGCATTCCGCGGTCTTCGAGAGAAAAAGATTTGGGGCAAATTTGCCCAACAGACATTTGGGATGTCTCGCCTTGTACTTGGTTCATCCTCTAGCATAGAGAGAATATGGGACCATCTAAACATGTGGCCCATTCTCGGTTTCTGGGCCTCTTGTTTCTGAATTCAGCTGTATTCTATGTACTTGATGTACAGGGTCTGTTGAGTTTGTCAGAGTCTACCAGTCTCCTACGTCAGGCTGTAGGACAGGGGCTCTGCCGGAGCTTCACAGTGCATGTGATCGTTCAACTAAGAATGGATGACCAAGAGGTCGATCAAGCCTACTTTTTAGTTGACTAGACAGCCTAGTTGACCGTTTTTACAAGCTGAAAACTCCATTGTGATCCCATCTGAGATATATACCAGCAGTTCACCAGCAGCTTGATCTCAAGGCCACTAAGTCGATGAACTAAGGCCGTGATTGACGTCGAAGCTGTGAAAGTTGAATGAAGTTGAGTGTCACATTTGCGCCAGAAAGCACGTCTCGCAATTCTATTTCACTTCAGAGATGTCAGAGGTACGTACCTAGGCAGGAGATGTGTTACATCGTGTGTGTTACACAGTTTCTACCATGTTCCATGTGTCATCTGAAGGATGTCTCCAACAAATCGCTCCTTCCAACGCGGACCGCGGACGCGATGGCGGCCGAGTTGGCGCGGCCGCCCCCCACCGCGGTGGGGGACCTCAACTGTGGGTAGCGATGGCCTCCAAGCCTAGCCTAGTAGCTACTTGCTACTAACTCGTAGCGATGCCCTTGGTTCCGTCCGAGTCGCGTCCTTGTTCCGTTCGTAGTAATGCCAGGAGCGCCCTGTTTGAGTCGCATCCTTGCTACGTTCGCTTAGGGGGTGAAGTTCATCCATTGAGCTCGTGCTTTTCAAGAGGTTCAGACCGTTGGAACATTTGGTTCCTGGTGCGGTTGTTGTGGTGCGATTTTCACTTGGAGCTCCCTTGGTGCATGGCTTTTGGCTGAGAACGCTTACCTTACTTCTTTTCCTGCCTCAGCATCAATGGGACCATTTGTGCCAAAAATTGGAACGGCACTTCCACACCAGCATTGGGCAAAACCATGTTGTCTAATTCTAGTGTTTTTGGGGAATCTTGGCAGAGAGCCCTTTATTCGTTGTCACAAGCTCTCAAAAGCCAGGGGGCAACACCGGCTCCACCACGAAACCTTTTTTTTGCTCCAAAAGCATGACACTTCAACTGTCTTTGGCACCCCCGAAAGAACCAAACAGTTCCTTTTCACCAGTGGTCGCCCCACGGTGTCGACGCCTCCTTTTGCTCCCAGGTGATCTTTCCACCCACGGTGAAGTTTACGGCGGGCTCGATGGTTTCCGCCGTGGCATGGAGAAGACCTCAGCAGGTGCAGGGTCCCGGGGAGGGGTTGAAAAGGAGGTGGGTGGCCTTGGTCTTTTTGGACGAGGCTGAGCAGGCTTTGTAGCTGGGTCTTGGTCCTTGTCCAAGGATTCGAAACAAAAAGCGAGGCAACACCCCCCCCAGAAGCATGCTTAGTGTTGTTCCGGGCACCAATCCAAGAATGTAGACATATCCCCCCCCAGCAGGTCAAAATCAAAGCGGCAGAGGAACGTATAAATTCATCCTGTCCTGATTCCTCACCCCAAAAAAAGAATATGAAGCTCTCGAAGGTATTTTCCAAAATGACACCGTGTTGATTGTGAACGGTGGGCCGTGACGGTGTCACTCTCTCCCGCGTTGACGACGTTCGCTTGACGACGTTCGCGGCAGACCACGCGGTTCGCTGCGGCGGGTCACGGAGGGCGCCCAGGTCGGCTGGAGATAGAGCAAAGTGAAGCGTTTCGGGGTCGACGCCTTCCAGTCGACGATTCTATTTTACATGGTCGAGCTGGTTCTGGAACTAAAATCCCTAGTAAAGTATTCGATGTTTCGGTGAAGGCCATGAAATATCATTAAATCAATGGTGATTGGTTTCGCCTAGCGACATGTCATATGATGTGGTTTTTGGAGGGTTTGGACCTGGTGCGAACTGCAAACTGTTGTCAGAGCTGTTGGGGGTTCCAACCTTTCCCAATGCAACAAGTTGGAAGGAGATTTATCCCTGCAGTCATGTTGGATGACCTCAATCCACATGAAGCACTGTTGCCTTCGATCGTCCTAAACGTATCGTTGTTGGCCTCGCATGGAGCGCCTTTGTTGCTCAGCACCTGGTTGGCAGGATGCCAGTTCAACCTTTCAGTATCCCACCACTCTCTGCTTTTTACACACACGGTGCCCCCTCGTCTGCTGCTCGCAGAACGAACACATCGATCGTGTGAACTGCATACGATCCCGGCAAGAGCTGAACACATGGGGATTTGTCCGGGATCCGGGTGTGCAGCCGCTCCATGCTGAGTCAGAACCACCTCAAGAGTTGGCGCAACGAAGCTTTTTCAACCAAACCCAACGGCACCCCCACCCCTCCGGCAGGGCCCAAAATGCCTTGGGGGCCAGCAGAGGCACCTTCATCCTTTCAGGTCGCCGCGCGGTCGGGTCTGTCAGCCTTGGGGACGGCACGGGAGCCCTGGAATTGCAGGTCATCAGTGGTGTGTGGGAGCCCCGTCCTTCGTCGCGCTGCGTCGGCTCCCGAACCGGCGGAGCCGGGAAACTGGACCAGTCTACCCCCTAGGCGGTCGGACTTTGGGGGGGATCCTCCCCCCCTATTAATTCGCTCACCCGCACAGCCCTATTTCACGTGTAGGTTGAGAAGCCTTCGGTTTCAGGCTCGGATCCGTGTTGAGTGGACCAAGTGTGTGGTTCTGGCAGGTGGCAGAATTCCAATCTCACTTTTTCTACTTTGATCTACTTTGGGTCGCTCATCTCTCCTTCAGATCCTTTCATCTGGACCTCCAGATCACACGGCCATCGCGTTGTCTGGCGTGGCGTTGAAGGCCCTTTTGGTCTCGATCAGATCCACGAGGCGAACGGTGCAGTCGTGGTCTTCCAAACCGCTTGGGCGGGTGGGGGCGCTTTGGCCGGGCAAAAGCGTGGCGGTTTGGCCCCCAAGAAGTGTGAACTGTTGGGGAGGTTCCATTTCTTGTATGGCATCAAGCCAACAACCATCCGGGCGGTGGTTGGGTAAAGAACGAACAATGTCACATGTTTTTTCAGGTATCAGGACCGTAGCTTCGCCACTTGTTCGTATGGGAACACTCGCTTGACAGGAGGCATTGCAGCGTCCGACCTTTCTTGCACTACTCGTCCTTGCCAAATCAACCATATCCGCTTAAAGAATACAGTAAGTACTCCTCCTTACGCCTCACGGCCGTTCGACAAGAGCCCAAACCCCTATCAAACGCGTCAAGAAGTGTATTCGCAAAAAGCAAGATCTCGATTCTATTGCATCTTCGTCTTGACGGGTTGAATGCGCTTCCCAATTCATCATTCACCTCTTTGGTACACTCCGTGTTTTATACCGGTGGTACATGCACCGTTTGGTCTTAAAAGGGGTTCACCTCGTCTCATCGTTTTTTGTCGGGTACCCCTACATGGTGGCGGAAGGGCCCTGAGGTGCGAAGATGGATCGTTCGTCTTCGTTTTTGGGAGGTTTCATGTCCTATTATTTTTTTGGGGGGTCTGGCGATGCCGAATCTTTGGAAGCAGATCGGAAGCAGAGATTCCAATCAAAAAACGAAGGGTCGGAAGGAGCTGTCTCTTTTCCTGGTTGGGGACGTTGCCTCCAACACACGATCTGGCCTGGTGATTGAGGATCTGCCCCCAGAAAGGTGAGGTGAAACCTGGTGTTTTCTGTGGAGCATCGACCCAGCTGGGCGGGTAGGCGGGCGAACTGGCGGTTGAACCCCCCCCCAAATCCAAGAAATCCTCCTTGTTTCATGCGGATAAAAAGACAGCGAACCATTTCCGGAGTCGAACTGGACTTCGCCCACCTGCCTCGTTCCCGTCTCTACTTCGCTCCAGGTGCTGGCGATCGCCGTGCCGCCCGCGAGCGCCGCGCAGGGCGGTCGAGGCAGGCGCTGGTGGTGGCCGTGGTTCGGTGAGCGATGGACGTTTGGAGCACCTGTTTCCTCAGGTTCGGTGGGTTAGACCCCCCAGGCACCCACCCCAAGCATCTTCTCAGGAGGTGAACAGGAGCCCTAGGGGGTTTTGGAACGATGCTGGTCTCGATGGTGAGACCAGGACTCGCGCTTGCAGATGTGAGTGATTTCAATTGCCCTGTGGAAGAAACTGTGCAAGTCGCAAACAACGAGACACTCTGATCGGTATGTTCTTATCACCTGCCAACACCTTGACCAACCACAATCTCTACGGCTATTGGTAAATTGACTGAAAGAACTCGAGACATGCGTAGGATGGTTCACCGCCCTCAGTTTAGTCTCCAAATAACATTGGATTTTTACGGTAAATCCTTGAAACTGCCCTATGGTTGGAGTATGGAGAAGACAGAAGGGGGCGAAATGGCTAGGCACCAAAGACTATTGAACGGATTGGGTCGTCCAGAGGAAATCATCAGGTAGAATGTAAACCAGACCATCAGAAGAACATGAAGAACATCGCAAGTGTGATTTGTTCCTTTTTCCTGCTTCATCTTCCAAAGCCAATCATCTGAGAGTTGTTGCTGATCATTTTCATCATACCTTCTAGTCTGCATGTTACAGCTCAGACGACGAAAAATGGCTTAAGACATCATTTTGGAATCACTATCCTCTTTAATTATTCTGATCACCTTTTTCAACCCATGCCCGGCTCAGACAAGACCTCGGCCGACCCAACCCCTTTTTTGGTGTCGGGGTTCCGCGTCTCAAGTCGGACTTGGGGCGGTCGGACGGCAGGACTCGGGCGATGCCTTGATTCCGCCCATGCCGGCGCCCAAGTCTGGGGCGGAATGGGTTGGGTGCGCCACAAACGTCGGCGATCCCCGGACGCGCGGTTGCTTTCTTGCGACGCTTAGGGACGCGATGGTTGGGGGGGGTTTCCCAAGGACGCGATGACACTTTTCCGACGATGTGTCGGCGTGGTCAGTGATTTGGCCACGAATACATGGAAGACAATTGCCCAAGTCAAGTGGTGTACAAGGGACCCCTTGAAAAAGGGGCCTTAATCTTCGAGCGGGCGACTCCGGCACCTTCCTTTCATTTCTCCCAGATGGACTAAAGTCTTCCATGCGGGCTGATCGAAATCCGGAACCCCTCTTCGCTCTACCGCGGTGTGCGTGTCTTTCGCTCCTAACCCGCAACCCGGTGCCGCCCGAACGGTGCCAACCCCCACGGTGCTAACCCCGCCACGTGGATCGATCCGAAGGACCGAAACGTGGCGAAACGCACCGAGGGGCGGTGTTCCGTCGGACCGAGTGGGCCACGTCCGACACGAACGTCCTTGTCCGCCGTTTGGTGTGGGGACTTCGGTTCGACCCTTGGGGGACGCCCAAGGACCACGGTTCCTGTGGATCCCACGGTGGGGTCCCTTACGGGGGTTGTTGAGGCCGAAGCCAGCGAGAAACGCTGGCACCAGTTGTTTCAACGATTTATTTTTGGATTCTCGCCCTGGGAAAGCAAAGGATAGTTGGAAGGAAATCTGTTTGCACTTCGTGCTGCCATTGGTTTTGCTAACCTAAAACTTTGATTGGGCATTACAGGCAACGCTGCCTTAAAGGAAGTAACTCCTTTCAAAACTGGGACCCCCCCGACAAATCGTGGTCCAGTTGGGTTGACTCCTCCTTCGGCTTGTGTCAAGCCGGCGCTTTCGCCGCTTTTCTCGCGTTTTCCGCCGGTTTTCACGTGGCGTCCTTCCCCGCAAGCTTTTAGAGGAAACGGGTCGACCTTGGAGTAACTGAGTCGCCGCCGGGGGGATCGCCATGGGTGACTATCAGAAGATGGCAGATGCGCCAGCAGGCCCCCTTCCTCCTCCCTATCCGCTGGCCAAACTTGACAGTGACCTAGCTGAGCGCAAACGAAGAACTTCCGTTCTGGCGAAGAAGGGACCATGGAACACCACGGAACGATGGGCGAGCAAGCTTTGAAACAGGAGTGTTTGCCATTCATGCTGCTTTACCCTGGGAGTCAAAGACCATTAAAACAATGGTTGACCTGGTTTTTGTATTGTAAACTCCTTAGTTGATTGGGTAAAGCCTATTAAATTAATGGTTGTTGGAAGCCTAGGGTTTAGAGAAGGTTTAGAACAGGTATTGTAACGGCCCCAGAGCATCCATGTCTCGAGATTGTCCTGGAGTTTCTCTTCTCACTGGCTGGCCACCCATGTCTAGACATGCAGCCAACAGGTCATCATGCAGCCAACAGAGCTGATGGCTCTTGTTTGGGAAAGGTAAGCCTCATCTGAGGGTTGCTCAAATTTGGCTTGAGAGAGGAGGTCTTTGAACATGCCAACAGTTTCATTTTTTTTTTGTTTTTATCTTCGATCAGAGTCAGAGGTGTGGGAGAAGTACCAAACTCTCATCTTCCCCACCAAAAAAACAGATCCGTTTAACGTCCATCCCTCCAAACGGAGCAGTCCTTCCTTTGTTCTCTCCCTTACAAAGGTGACAAGGAAGGCTTGTTGAAGGGCCTGACCGATGCGGAAGTGGCCGAGCTGGTGAAGAAGTATGGCTTGAACGAAGTGCCCGAGGAGACCCATCCCGTCCGGTCCGCCGTGCCGCCGTGCGGCGGAACCGGAGAGCGAAGAGCCGTCCTTCGGCCTGGTCTCCGAGGTCTTTTTCGATCCACCGAGCAAATAAGGATTTCCTCCGAGTTGGAGAATGAAACATTCTTTTTGTTCCCAGGTGGTCATGTCGTTGTTTCCTCTTTTTTTCTTCACTTGTAGATTCGGTGTCTCATTGAACACAGGCATCCCGTTGGATGCTGCAGCATCATGTCGCCATGGCTTTCGGCAGGTCCGGACACCCCAGGATCGCAATCGGAATCGGTTTGAAGCCCGGCGTTCGGTCCATGTGAATCAAGGGGTAGGAGGGAACCAGGGCCCCTGCGGGCCATGGGGTGTCCAACAATATAGCTCCTTAGGGGTGAATGGGTGTCTATCATACCACCCCTTAGGCCGTGGACGCCGACGAAAAGTCCCTCGTTGACCGACCGAGTGATGTCCCAAGCCGGTCGGATGTCCGTCCGTTGGTCAGACGGTCGGTCGGAGCCATATGGTGACAAATCCTTTTTTTCCCAGAAGACCCTCCGGAGCTCAGAGAATGGTTTCTTTTCTTGAGTTACAACAGGGGCGGTGTTTAGTTCCTGAAGATCCTCAAGTGAGTGGATGAGGACTGGGCAAGCAATACTGGGCACCCCGACGTCCTCGCAACAACGCCCCGCCATGGAACAGCTATGCCGAATGGATGAGATGACCGGTAGGCGTCGCTCCCCTTTCCCGGGGTTTCCTCCCAGCCTCATCGGACGCCCGCTCGTGGCTCGTTGTCCGAAGATGGGCTGTCGAGTCTTCCACGGATCCTGCGTGCGGTCCGGTTCTACTTGGAAGGAGAAGGAGCCTTTGTGGAAGATGTTCTTGAAGCAATTCACGGGCCCCATGCAGATCATGATCGAATGCGCTGCCTTGCTGTGCTTCTTGATCCACAACTGGCCGGACTTCACCATCATCATGGTCTTGCTCATGACCAACGGAACTTTGGGATTCTTCGAAGAGAAGAGTGCGCAAGCATCAGCGGCTGAGCTACAACCTGCGCGATGGGTTTCACATTGGTTTGGCAGGTACTTGTACTTGACTTGCTCTCATATGATCTCATTGATCTCGTCTCCTATTTGACCGTCAAATCACACGAAAAGCATCCGCTCCGGACCGGAGTGTCCCCCTCCCCCGGACCAACATGGACCGAAGCCTGTCGCTTCCGCTCCGACATCGAAGAGACAAACCGAATCCTTGCGAGTTCGTTGCGGGGGGGGCATCTCATTTGACACCTCAAAGCCGTACATGTGCCAACTCTCCGAGTTTGTTTTACCGAGTTCGTTGGGACCAGCATCTGGGAACCAGTCTTCGGGTGCCCAAGATCCCGATCCCACATCAGCAGGTGGCCGCTTCTTCGCAATTGAAACAAGATGATATGCCCGAAAACCATGGTGGAATTCTTGCCCCCCCCCAAAAAGCCCAGATCCGTGAACCTGCATCGAATCAGCTGGGAAATCCATGCTCCATCCAAGCCCCACACCGAAGCCTGTCGCTTCGACCGATCTGGGATCCGATGGATGCGAAACCCCTCACCCGCACCACCGGCACTGGCTCGGCACCGGTGGAGCCACCGAAAGCTGGCTTGAAGGTGGATGCCTTGAAAGCTGGCTTGGAGAAGAAGATGCCGGTGAAACGCAATGGCCAGCGAAACGAGCTGTGAAACGAAGTGGTTTTCTTTTTGGACTGGTTGAGAAGCTGAACATGGTGCTGGGCATGCTGGGCTTTGAGTTCTGATTTTCGAACGGAAGAAAACGGCTTACGAAGAAGACATCAGTCCAACTGGGGCGTCCCGCGGTTCGCCGAGCAGTTGGGGCCCTGCAGTTGGGCAAATACATCGGAACACCTGTTTAATATCTATATGAGTCCACAATACAGTATACTGTCTCTTTAGGGAGCGCGAAACTCGTTCATCCAAACGGTGCAGCTTCTGCTCTTTTCCCCCTTTTCTCGTGGGTGTGCCGGACAGCCCAACTTCTAGACCCTCTAGACTCTTAGGACCTGGAAAAGCCTAGACTCTTCGATTTCTTGTTTGGCGTCCCCCGTCACACAGCACGCTTGCACGCCCCTGCCAAGCTTGGGGTCTCCCACTCGCCACTCCACCGGCACCGTGGTGGTGACGCGGACCATCTCAGCAGCGCGGAGCTGGTGCAGGCAAGTTCGACAGCATCCCGGTGGTCCAGGTGGTGCCGGGTGACGTGCTCTTCATGCGCGGCGGCGACATCGTCCCGGCGGATTGCTATTGGGTCGAAGGGGATCCCTGCCAGGTGCGGGCGTGAGGAGCGATTCGTCCGGTTTGTGGGGGGGGGGTGGACGTGGCCGGCCGGCATGGTGTTTGGATTCGGGGGTGAACTTAGCCTTCTTGCTGTGAATCAGCTCATTGAATTTGACGGAGTCCGGTCAGATTGTGAAGTCGGTAATGAAGAACAGTATTTTTGAACCAATGTAAATGCGAGAAGGGCTTATTATATGTGTTCTTTTTAGACTACTTTGTGCTTTGTGCATAGGACAAAAAGGCACCACTCTTGCACTTGCAACCGCTCGTGAGGGTCGGGTTTGGTTTCGGCACTCGGGGTCGGGGTCCTGAAGTGCGTGAGTGATCCTCGATTCACTGCTGCTTGTGGTCAGAAAGGGATGTAGATCACCCAGGATCACCCAGGATCGGCTCAAAGAGGATCGGCTCACGTGCGGATCCAACGTTCCGATCCTAAAAAGCGCGCATCCCCCGGAGGCTCAAGTGCACCCGAACCATACTGAGACCGGAAAAAGAACCGACCGGCCTCACCGGGTTCGATCGCCGGCGAGATCGACCAAACACCGAAAGCCAAAGCGGCGATCGAAAGCCTCGCCTTGCCTCGCGGGGTCCAAGGGCCCATTGTGTTTCTTTCTTCTTTTGGGGAGAATGACCCTGGCATCTGGCGGTTGAGATCCTGGTGGTGGCGACCTGAAGCTGTAGGCTGTAGGCTCAGAAGAACCGGTGTAAGCAGAAGTACCGGTTTCATGGCACCGGTCGTGGGATGTGTGGAACTCGCCACCAGTCTGACCGCTGGTCCGCTGGTTCTGAAGAAGCTCAGTCATGTTTTTGTATGTTAAACTCTCCAGACCTTCCTGAGGTCCGTTCCAGACCGGCAAGTGTTGAGGCCACCAGGTCACCGAGCGCGGATGCCTGAACGCCTCACACCTCACACACCTCACATCGGGTGCTTCTCTGTAGGTCGATGAAGCGGCCTTGACGGGCGAATCTCTGCCGGTGAAGGCCGGGACCTGTGCCGTGACCTTCCACGTTCGGGCCGAACGGCATGCCACGAACGCCACGAGACCCGTGATCGGACCTGTGCCAATGTGAAGCGCGCGGAGGCACTGAAGCCCACCAGACTGGGGTGAGACTGGAAGTTTCAGAGCAAGATGTGGTTTGGTCAAGAGCTGAAGCTCCAAGGTTTTCGGGCTTATGCCAGATTTGGAGCCGGACGATCTAAAGGAGAATGAGCTTTGTGATGGATGATCCTCTTTGATGGGCTTTGAAATTCATCTTGGAGCCCGCTTGTTTCCTTATTTTCCTTTCCCATCCTCTTCTGCTTTCAAGAACCCATCGCCGCAACAAAAAGGCCTTTCTTGGCCCCTTTCGGTCGTCCTTTCAGGTGCCTCGGAAGGACGACGACGGCAAGCCCTTCTCCGGACGGCAGATGTGGTCCGGATCCATCTTGAAGGTTGGCGAGTGCCAAGCGGTGGCCCGGCGTCTCTTTCTTTACGGGACGCCTCCCGATTCGTTGGGCCGGGAGGAGATGGAGGAGACGGGGAGATGGTGGGAAGGTCTGGGCGGGTTTTTGGCTCTTTTTCTTCGGTCCGGTCTGATTGAAAGGATGGGGTCTGATTTAAGGTGATCCCAAAGAGAAGGTCCCTTACTTCGGTGCCAAAAGTACCCCCAAACATAGTGTATATATATACCCTAGAAGTCCAAAGACTATATTTTGACTGGCTGGAGTAAATGAAGTTCCCTTTCAGTTCCCCTAAAGACCATTCTTTTTATAGTCTTTGACTCCCAGGGTATATATATATATATACAGGATCTTCCAACGATACACGCAGACTTGCCGAGCTTGGCTGGTTTTGTGGAGGAAAAGGCAGCAATTCTACATATCTCGTTGGACGAGAAGAGCTATGAAGAGATCGAAGAATGCAGACGTTCCCGCACTCCAAAGAGTTATCGGAGACCTTCGTAGCTTGAGTTAAAACTCAGGTGGTGAGCCACACGGGCGTGAACACGATGATCGGCGAGGCGGCCAAGGCCATCCAGGAAGCCTCCGGGAAGGACATTGGCGTCTTCGAGGGCAAAATCATCGAGGCAGAACGAAGGGAACGTCGGTTTTCGCCGACCGAACGGTTTGGAGACGAAGAGGAACGTGGTGGAAGTGGTATGGGAGGCGAAAAAGAACCGTTACGTGGGAGAAATGCCACAACACTCCTTTTACCGACGCTGATGACCAAGTTCAGCAACTATTGAGCAGAGGTGCCGGTGCTTCTCTGTTCTAACCAGACTTTCGTCTGGACTCCGATATTATTCCATAATATTGATTAATTGGTAATTAATGTCAACAATGACCAGAATACCAACATAAGAAGACCAAATTCTTTTCCTTCTCTCATGTGATGCTCACTTATCAAGAAAGCTGGCTTAAGCCGGTCTGAGACGCCGACGGGTGTGTGTATATCGTTTCAGTTCGACGAAATGGACACGCCGTCGCCGGGCAGAGTTGGACACGCGCGGACACGCCGAGCGACTGGATCAGATGAAAACACTATGAGGTAAACACATCGAAATGGTTCACCATCTCTCAGTATGTAGAGATGTGGAATATGTTCAGAGTTCTTGCACAAACCATGGAACATGATACCAGAACACAAAAAAACGATACCAGTTTCAGTGGATTGCTTTTGCTTGGAAAACGATACCGGAACATAAAACACGATACCTTTACAGCTATTTCACTTTTTCATACAAGGGTTTGGATCATCGCTCACATGAACACTCTCCGTTTGTGCACATCCACAGCAGTTTGCATGTGGAACATTGCTGGAAAAAACCTTGAAGCTTTGAACCAAAGCACCGCCGAAACATCGTTGGACCTAGAAGATCTTACCTTGTTTTTGTACGTTGCATGGTCTTGACCTTTGGGAAACAAACCACGGCGCCCGGGAGGTCCGTCAGGTCCGTGCACACGACCAGTTGCGGTGAAAAAGATGCGTTTCTTTTTGCCGGGGGAACCGGAGCCGCCGGTGCCCGACTGAACACGGACGGTGTCTATGAACTGAAGAAGGGTCATGAAACTTGTGGAACGTGAAACTGAAACTGAGTTTTGTCATCACACTTTGTCATCTCTGACTCATTAACTTGTCATTTTCATACTTTTTTGTTTGATATTTGTGTGTTACTCATGGCCTTTTGTTCCATCAGGCGGCTCAAGTGTTGATTCTCATCACTGTTGTGGTGGTGACCTTCCTCTTTTACTTCATGTACGTCATCCAGGGCGTTGAGATCACTGATGCTCAGCTGAAACGCTCAGCGAAAAGCAGAACCTCTGAAGCTTTTGCTGCGGCCAGGACCGTGTCTGAAGGTTCTTCCGGAATGGGATGTTCTTTTTTGTCTGAAAGCTACATGTGGACAGCTCCTGAAATCTCGTTTGGTTTCGTTTGGGGTTCGCCCTCGGTCAAGGGTTGCTTGGCGTAACATCACCGGCCCAAGTTTTTTGCAACTCAGGAAGTCTTGGAGATGTCGCTCTCCTTGGTGATCGCCTCGGTGCCAGTGGCGCTGCCCATGGTGATGAAGGTGACCTTGTCCATCGGTGCCAAGGAGATGTCAGATGAAGGTGGCATTGCAACTCTGCAGAACTGGAGAACTGCGACGGGAGAAACCAGGTTTCCTAAAGCATTGCAGGAGGGCCAGCCGAGAAGCGGAGAAGCCAGAAACGAGGGGGACTCTTCAAGGGCTCACGAGAACTTCAATCAGACAGACATAGGCATCTTCAATGGATGAGGATCTGAGATCCGTTCTAATTGTCCAACCTGTCAGATGATGCATGGGCCTGTCATAAGAAGCCTCTCGAGGGTCACTAAGCAGAATGAGTTGTTTTGCAGATTCCTTTTGACGCCACAGTGTGCACACTTGTCAGAAAAACCCGTAGATACTGCTAAGAAGTATATGGGTATATTTTGGTGTTATTGAAGGGGGTCAGAGTCAGATCCTCAAGAGGAAAAGGAAAGCAAAAAGGAGGATCTGCCATGATCTGCCATGATCTTGCTTCTGGTTGGGCCCCAAGTGAGAAGCCACAGATCAGTGTGTGTATGTTTCACCTTGGGAGCATTCTGCAAGACTCCTTGGGGGTTGAAATCTGGAAACCGCATCATCCCAAGCCACGCCCCACGCGCGAAAGCAAGCAATTCGGAGCCACGAGTGACCGATCCGACACCACGGACCGCACGGCACGGAACGCGCTGAGGTCACTCACCTGACCGCCTTGGAGGAGATCGCCTCGATGAAGGTCTTGTGCTCCGACAAGACGGGCACCTTGACCACGGCCCAGATGACCGTCTACTACGACGAGACGGCCAAGGCGAGTGAACACGCACGAGAACGAGAAGGTGTAGGGCGTTCTGGAGGACTAAGACCGGGCTCTAGACGAAGACCGGGCTCCAGACCGGTTGAGACTGCAAGACGTTTTCGGACTGTGGAGGACCGGCGCTTCAGCCGCGGGATGAGTGGGATGGATGGTCCTAAAGAGGAACCGGACCAAAGATGGATGGGGATGCTAGAGAGGTGTGCTGGAAAAAGGTGCTAAGTGGTTGTTTTTGTTGGTTTCCTTACAACCTTTGGGAAACGTGTCTTCGTGTTGGAAGAAGTGTCTGATGGTCGTTTGGGGGGACAGTTGTGGGCATTTGTGCAGTCTAAGTGGTGGGCAGCTCTGCCCACGACTCTTCTTCTTTCCGCAGGGCTGCCGCCGCAGCGCATCGGGTTCGGCCCAAAGACGAGGCCTACAACGGCTTCACGGCGGAGCAGGTGCTGGAATTCGCCTCACTGGCCTCCAACGAAGCCAACAAGGATGATCCCATTGACTCCGCAGTGCTCCGGGCCTATGCCAAGAGCAAGGTGCGAATGGCGTGGGGAACGTGGGGAGCGGACCGGGATGGGCAGACGACTAGCGGCTTACTTGAGGAAACGGCGCGCCTGCGTTGCAGGGGCAACACAGTTGGATATATATATATATACATCAATACATGTCTACCTAGAGCCTGTTTTGATGGGAAAGGAGGGTGGTTGGTGGTCCAATATAGAGGTCACTCAGGTTCTAGGTACCTCCCGTCATCTTCCCTGCTGTGGGAGGTGGGACACTCGGCTGGTTGCGGCTGGCTTTTCCACGTGATGTTCTTCCGTCGAATTCCCGAAGACTCCAAACCTGGGCTTTTCAGTGGCTCTGCCTGAACACCCCTCCAAGTAACCACAGGATCCTAGCCTTGGAGCTCTGGGTTTCTCAGACTTCCAGAGACCGCGCCTTGTGGCATAGTGCCCTGGGTAGCCTGGAGAACTCTTCCTATGAGGTGGTTGGAGGAACACCTGACACCGACACCACAAAGGGTTCTGATGCCCAAATCCTGTTGGCATCACATTCATGGTTGCTTCACCTTAAGCCCTTCAGCAACACCAAAACACCGGTGTTCCGTTCGCCACAAAAAGGCATGGACACTGCACTTTTCGTCCCCTGAGGGCATGACCAATGTGGATGATGCCGTGGACAAGAGGAAGACCCTTTACAGCTTGGATCCTGAAGGCTTCATCGGCTTCAACCCCATCGCCGCTCGCCGAAGACGGAGTGCCCAAGAGCACGCGCCGAGAGCGCGCGGAGGGAGCTTTGAGAGCGGGGATGCCGGAGGGAGCGCGGATGGAAGTGTTTTTTTTAACTTTTTTTACACGGAAGAAAGGAAAGCAACCAATTCATCCAACGCCTCCTTTAAAGACGTTTTAAAGAGCAGAAAAGTGACAAAGTCTTTGTTTGGGGAAGGCTCTAGCTCCCATTTTTCGGAGCTTGGTTCAACAAAGGCAACGCTTTCTTTTTAGGGCAATCCACTGGTTTCATCGAGACCGACTCATCTGGCTTTGCAAGATAACTTGCCATGACAAGTAGATGCGGCATGCCTTCAGACGTCCGCGCCCTGGGGTTTCCCGCCCCGCTCGCTCGTGGTCCTTGCTGTGTGGAGCTTCCGCGCGAACCGCGCGGAGCCGCGCTCGGTTCGATCGTTCGAGCCTCAGGTGAAGCGCACCTGCGCGGCGGTGACCGCGAAGGACGGCACCAAGTGGTTCTGCTCCAAAGGCTGTGGCGGCGACGGTGGCGACGGTCGTGACGGCCGTCGGTCCGGTGTCCACCGGGTGTTGCTGGTGTTTTTTGAACCGAGCATGAGGCGGAGAGGTGAAGGGTCAAAGGGACGTGGTCCGATCTCGGGTTTCACTTCCCAAAGCAACTAGGTCCTTCTTACATCAACATGCCCATAGTTTGAGGGGGCACCACATGGCACCCACATGCAGATGGGCCTGTTCTCGTTCATGTTGCATGGGTCCACAGTCACCCCGGCCTTTGCATGGTTTTGCCGTATGCAGAGATTCTTGGTCTTTGGCCACTTGGGTGTTGCTGAGTTGGGGTTGCCGAGGTTGCCACATTTTTTGTTTTTCAGGTCGAGTCAATGTAGACTGTTGATGAACAAAACATACAGTATAATGGGACACATAAAACACCCCATATGAAGAGGATTTTCAATCCAAATGCAAGGTTTTGTGAATCAATCGTCTACATGCAGCATGGAAGCTGCAACAGTCTCTTTTTCATTCTTTTTCCAAGTCTCGAGGGCAATAGGCTAAGACCCCAGCCGCAAAACCCCGTTCGCGGGTGGCACTCTCCAAACTCTGGATACGATCTGCAGATCAAGAATAGTTTGGCGCCATGGTGAATCATCCCCGAATCATCCCCTCAAGTCCGTTGTCCGTCCATGAGATGCAGTGCCTGCTGTGGTTCGAAGCTAACCCATCGAGTGACGGCCGAGTGGCACCAAGGGACTTACACTCCGACGCGGCCCGTTCTTCCTGTGTTCGATTTCTCCCTGCCCGGATAGGATCGGCACCCTCAAAAACAAGGGCTTTGAGGGTCCAAAGCCTTGTATCTTCTAAGGAGGGTCCATCCTGAGGGTGTATCAATTGGTCCATCGACCGCTCGCGTTAAAGGAGGTTCACCGATTCGGGACGTGCCAGGCATGGTGGACGTGATCTTGAAGACCAACCCGGAGGATGAGGCGCCGATGTGCGCGGCGTGTTCAACGATGGGGTCTCCCCATCGATGTCTCTCCAACATCTTTCTCGTGTCAATAAGGGGTACCCTCCGAACGCATCACAATGGAAGCGGAGTGAAAAGCACCTGTCACACTGTTTGGTATAAGGACCATGGTCGAAAAACAGGGGACCCATGCCATCCATGTGTTCGGAGTGGGGTTGTTGAGACGCCCGATCCTTGGACAGATTGACATGGCAACTTGACATGGTTTAAGTCTCCGAAAGGGGGGCCGCCTCCAGAAAAATGGGGCTTTCTTCGATGCGAAGCCCGCGATGACTTCTTGAGCGAAGCCAGCGATGGAATTTCGATCGCATGGAGCGGTATGCAAGGTTTGCATATCGGCTGGTGGCTCCAAGCCGTCAGTAGCAAGGTTTTCCTACTTCCTGAGCTTGCAGTCGCAGTCCGAGCTGCACAGTTAGAGCGGTATAGTGGTTCGTGGTTCTCACCAGTTATCCCATGACTGGCCCTGAGTGCCCTGAGTTTCTGAACATCCCAATGGCATCCTGGAAAAAGAATGAACAAGACATAGGTCAATGCGCCAGGACTCCTGTATGTCCCAAGTGAGTCGAGTACCGTCTGGTCGAAAGAAATAGACGCCTGGAGATTGCTCCCTTTTTGCGGTTTTTGGGAAGTTCTGTCAGGGCAAGCAGTGGACCGTGGACAACTACGAGGAGATGTCCAAGCAGGCTAGTAAGGCGCGAGAGGGATCAGTGGCCCGGGATCTGTGGCCCTCTCTACGCGCAATCCACGCGCAAGCCCGGCGATGGGGTCCTGGGTGCTGGGCCGTGGGTGAGTCGAAAGCCCGGAGGCTCTATATCATTGGGGGTAGCCCTGCAAAGGACCGTAATGATGACGCATGGTGTTTCTATAGTCGCACACCTGTGGTAGTCAACAAAAGGTGGTATCCACATCGACCAAATTCTTTGGAGACGGGGCACGTCTTCGGCGCCACAGAGACTATCAGGTGCCCCGTACGGGCACTAAACGCGGAACATTGAGATCCCTGCTGTTGGTTCAGCTGCGGGGTCCCAAGGCCTTCAGTCTCTCAATACTTTAGCCTCTTGTTGTTGTTGTTGCTGCTGCTGTAGTAGTAGTAGTAGTAGTAGTAGTAGTTGTTGTTGTTGTTGTTGTTGTTGTTGGGCCAGTCTCCACAAAATCTTGAAGATGCAAGCGCGGGGCCCAACTGGTGGGAACAAACTGGTTTGGCTCTCCATGTCAGCACATGGGACACTACTGCAGGGTGATAGGGTGGGACGTCCTTCTTTCTCTCCCCAAATCAACCTGGTCGACCTTCAATCCATCGCACAGGTCCTTACCGGCTTGTAACAGTGGTGCTACCCATCCATCTCCAGCCTTCCACGCCTCCCACGCGCTTAACGCCCGTGGCCGCGGTGCCGTCGCCAGCGGTCGTGGCACGTCAGGCCGATGCGGATCTGGGTATTTCGGGCTTCAAGACCTTGGGTGTGGGCGTGTCCAAGAATGGTGGGCCCATGAAATTCGCAGGCATCCTGCCTATTATGGATCCACCCAGGCGGGCGGTCTGGGTGAGCAGTATAGAAATTGCTGGGTGGATTTGCAGGGTGTTGGGCGGATTTTTCCATTTTTTGAGGGGTCCGAGGTGTTTTTGGTGGCTAGATCCCGTCTCAGTATCTCTCACTTTCTGTTCACATGGATTGGGACGGCATAGCTCCCCGTTCACAAGACTTTTTGGTTGGCAGGGTCAAATGATTTGTCCGTGACGAATCCATGTATAAATCTCTCTCTCTCTCTATATATGTATATATACATATACTCTATATGTATATATACTTATCTTATATATATATATACATACTGTATATACAGACAATATAAAGTACTGTGCTGCTTATTTTTTGTGTAAAGGGAACAACCGGCGCGATTTTCAGGTTGTTGTTTCTCGACCCACACCCATTTGAGTACTGGTTGCACCCACAGAACAAAAACGATAGAAGTACTGAACGACGTCAATACATTGATAGCCTGTTTATCTCTTGTTCATTTGGAGATCTTTGCAATTATAGTCTGATTCTCTGTCACACATGGTTGCTTCGGATTCCAATGCTGGAACTTTCGAGATAGACCTCTCTATCTTAGACAGGGAGTTCAGCTGGAGCGCCAGGCATGACACCAAGGAGACCATTCGCAAGATCAAAGAAGCGCAGGTCAGGCTGTCAGGATGGCTAAAGAGAGCAGTGCGGTGTTGGAAACCGGAGTCACATGCAGCTTGTTTTAGCTTCGGACTGAGAGTTGAACTGCCCCTCTTCATCTCAGAACCATGAGTCTTCAACTGCCCCTCTCCATCCATTGGAGAGGGTGGGGAGGTCAAGGGTCTTTTCTTCGCATCAGGGAGTTTTCTGTGCTTCTTGGGAAGTGAAGACGCTCGTCAGCTCGCTTTCTTCTTTCAGCACACGTACAGGCGGGCACGCACGGACTGACGCAGGCAGATGTATTTGCAGAAAGGCAGACAGATTATCTCCTATTGAGTTTGCTATACAACTGGATCCATGGAGTCCTGAACAAATCACGCTAGTCCTTTGGATTTGTCATGTGCCTATGGCAATATGGTGCCGGTGAGAGAACTAATCATCTGAAACCTGCGAGCTTGGCTGAGCTTGGTCGGAATTTGGGCCCATTGTCATGTGTTCAATAATTGATCACTCACCCCGACACGGGTCGCCCCGACATGTCCAGCCAAGACCACAAAGGCCTCGTTTTCTGAGGTCGCGGTCAAGATGATTACGGGTGACCATCACAACATTGGCAAGGAGTGAAACGGAATGAGCCAGGTGTCACCTACAAGAAGCACATGGATGTGGAAAAGCACAGGTTGTCGTCATTCTTCCTTTATCGCATAACATTGGCGGCCCGATTCGGGTTGAGACCAGCTACACGGTCTCACAGCCTTTGACTGGTTGTTTTGAACGAAGCGCATATTGATCTTTTTCTTCGGTGCTTGTCCTCCTTGCATCTCCTTCTTCTTCTTCTTCTTCTTGCCGTGTCCTCGCTGCGCGGCATAGGCCTTTTTGGAGTGGACCCTAATTGGTCTCTTTTTTTTCTCAGACCACGGTCGGTCCAAGTAGACTGGGACTTGGTGTCGGTATGAACAAGGGCGCCGTTAAACGGCAAGAGCTTGGGACTCCGGCGCCGACGTTCCGGCGCCGACCGAGTGGAGATCGAACGCCGAGGAGCTGGCGCGGCAGATCGACCTGGGCACCGACATCCGCACCCCCGACTGCCTGCAACCGCCCAGCGAGGCCCGCGACCTCATCGCGCCTCGGAGTTGATGCCGGTGCCGGCACCGGAAGGGGAAGATCGGGGGGACAGGATCACATCGCACGGCGAGGAGGTTTTGGAGATGGGACAAATGGACACTGCCCACTTTGGATGACTTCGGTTTGATATTGGCCGTGGGTAACCGAGCCCCTGAACTAGGGTCGACTTTGACCTTCGGTGCTTGACTGCCCTTCTTTGCAAAGAGCGCGCGAAGAGCAACAGGTGCGGCCAGCTTTTGAGGCCGAGGCATGGCCCCTGTTCCGTCCATGTGTCCGATTTGTTTTTTCATCAAAGACCCAGATTGGGGGTGAGTTTCCTGGGAGGAAGCTGAGGGGAACAGAGGAGAATCCATCCTGTGTGGAGCTTTGAGACACTTTCTATGTTCCGACTGCGTCGTCCTCCAGTGGATGCGCATTTTTGGACGTGGTGGTTGGGCTCTGTGTCAAAACCGAAAAAAGGACTCAAAGTTTCCGGTAGGGGCAAAGAAGTGGTATCATTGGGGGCCATCCAGAGACATCACATCTGCATTTGTATTGGTAATCCACTCTTTGTTGAAATCAAGAGGATTAAAACTCTGTGAGGAAACGACTCAACCTGTTCTCCAAGCCCCAACGACGGCCAGTTCTCCCTTCGCCTTTCGTCTTCGTTTGGCCCTTTGTTTGGCCTTTCGTTTGGCCCTCAAGTGGAACGCCGTCGGGTCTCACAGGGGGTGAGACGCTGAGGTCATGAAAGCGGACGGCTTTGCGAAAGTGAAGCCTTTGGACAAGCACGAGGTCGACACACGGACGAACGAAGCTTGCCGCCGCGCGCGGTTTTGGGCCCGCGCGGCGAGAAAGGAGCCCCCGCACCACCTTGGAGCAATTCTAGCGATGTCTTTTAGTTCAGTGAAACCATGTGAAACCAAGAATAGAGTCCGGGTGAATGTCTTTTTCGACCAAGGGGACGCGAGTTGATTTTCCTTTGCTCCATTCAGTGGTGGCCTCCCGTAGTGAATGAGGTCGAGGATCTTGGCAAAGGTATGACATGGGGTCTTTGACTTTCTTGATTTGCAGGCTGAAAAGAGGCACATGGGGTTAGCTGCTTAGCTGATGTCGGTTACATGACCACACCGGCATGTCGGAATTTCCTCACACCCCAAGCAGGCTAGCCGTGGGGTGACTCTGAAGCCCTGCAAGGTGGTCCAAGTACTTCAAGACAAGGGCTTGGTCGTTGGCATGACAGGCGCGATGCGGATGGCGCGATCCGCTGCGAGCGCTGCGTCGTCCAGGGTTTGACCGTTGGGCATTGCCCTGCAGTGTTAACCCTTGGGGGGTGAGAATGGTCCGTGGGGCATCGATCGAAAACTCCCTGAGATTGGGTTTCTTGGATGACTCCGGTTGGTGTCTCCTGGTCACGGCGGTGAAAGGTGTGGCTTTTGAACGGTCAATGTCTTCATCCCTTGCAAGCCCTGCAGTTCAGTGGGTAACCCGGGTGACTTGGGGGCCTTGCACATGACCAGCGAACTACTTGCAGTCCACGCATGGATTGGAGTTGACGGACGAGCAATGCTTCAGAAAATGCTTTGCAACACCATCATACACCAAACAGAAAAACGTAAAAACATGACACATTCTTTGTCACCTACTTCTTTGATGCTTTTTGATGAATCATCCTTCTAACCACGCCCCAACCTCCCGCAAGCCAAAACACCTCTTTCAGGTCACCATCCATCCGTGGCTTTGCCACCTCCTCTCGTCACCGCCCAGGCGACGGCGTGAACGACGCGCCGGCCCTGGCGAAGGCGCAGATCGGCATCGCGGTGCACGGCGCCACGGACGCTGCGAAGAGCGCGGGGGATATCGTGCTGACGAAGGATGGACTGTCGCCCATCTACACCGCCATTCAGTGTCTCGGTGGACTGGGACTGGTTAGTTTGGGGGGGTTGAACGACTCTAAGGGTCTCTTTTTCGGAGGTTCGGGGGTTCGGGACTGGGGGGGTTGAAGACTCTAAAGGGTTGAAAACGGGGGTGGGACTGGTTTTGGAGATGTCTGGATGTTTGTGTTTTCTTTTTTGTCCATCTAATCAGAAACCATTAGTGACCAGTGCGTTTGGTGAAGATTGGGATGGATTGGTGGTATGGAGTTTGGGTTCTCAACACTATAGGAGGCCTGAATCTAGACAGTGCCTTGAGAGTGGCTTGATTTTTTGGGACGATTCAAACCAGATGTGCACCTAAGACAAATTTGGATAGGATGGAACTGCAAAACAGCTGGTTCAGGCAGCTTGGTCATTGGTCAAGGGGAGAGGCCCAGTTTCCTTTGTGGTTGAACAACAACTGGCGGGAGCGGGAGTCCGCAACAAGTGTCCGAATCCTTAGAATAGTATTAGATTAGCATCAAAACCGCTGAGAAACAGATCTGAGTCCGGACCATCGTCTGGTGTTTCTTTCCTCTGTCCGAACTGCACCGCCACGTCGCCGAAGCGGCTCTGGTCGCTCGAGCGCGAAATCCGAGCCCAGACGCTCCGTGAAAACCGCCCGACTGGTCCCGAACCAAAGCCATTCCTCCACTCAGTTCGCCACTCATTCCTTCCATTCCTTCCAATCCTCCACTCTAAAGCGATGCAAGAATTCTTCCAACACGCCCTGCCCAGCCACCCAGTAAGCTGGCACAATACTTGGTGCCTCCACCGGGCATCTCAGGATCAGTCGCCGTATCTTCAAGCGCCTGAAGTCCTATGTGATCTACCGTATTTGCATTACAGTGCAGGTGCGGTTTTCAGCCGGAAACTGACGAAGGTGAAGTGACGAACTTCCGGAATTCCCTTCTGGATTTTTGACCTCCTCGCTTTCTGGACCAGGTGTTTCCCTTTGTGACGTTCAGGGTGCGTCAGGAGTTGACGGATGTTTCCACCGCGCCTTGGAGAGGGCATGACATCGTGTCCTCCTTCTTGTGGATGTTCTTCTAAATACTGCCAAGAGACCCTGATTGCACCAAGAAACACCAACACAAAGGTCTGGCCCAAGCTCTTGGAGACCTGGAAGAACATCTTCCACCATTTCTGTCACCAGAGGTTTGGTTTGCCTTTTTGACCCAACTGCCATGTTCTACAACCTCAGTATAGTTGCAGGATTTTCTCTGCCGCCGTGTCGGCTCACGGGCTTCTTTTTTTCCTCGAGCTGCTTCAGATGAACTGTGGGGGGGGGTGGTGGAACGTGTGGAACGAGCCACTCACCCTCGGCCAGGTGGTCTTCTTCTTGGCTGCCTTGGCGATCTTCTACAACCTCCGCTTCAAGGCTCGCTCCGCGCATGCGCGCGCGGGCCGTCTCCACACGTCGCGAGGCGGCGCGCGTCATCGCGTCGAACCGGCGTCGAACGGAGTCGTCGTGAGTTCCCAGCCCGACTCCTGGTCTCGAACCAAAGCGGGATTGGTGAGGGTCGGTCCGGACCCCCTGACCCGTCCCGATGAGGGGTCGGTCCGGACCCCCGGACCCGATTCGGTTCGGGTCCCGACTTCGTGTCGTGGGTGCAGAGAAATTGCTTGGTGGAGCACGATTCCCAGGGGGCCGGTCGTGGTCGTGTTGCTTGTGGACACTGGGCGGTCGACGAAGTCGACGAGTTGGTGGTATGACTTGTGACTTCCCAGGAAGTCCGACCAGTCTAAAGGGACGTTTCTAGGTGAAACCGCTGGAGAACACCATGGAGACTCTGGATTAAACGCCCCCATATGAAAAGGATGGGAAGGTGTTCTAACCAGTTTACATTAGAGAAGCAAGTAGAGTTGATGTTTCGACAGCCTGTCCTGAGTTGGCCAGTTGTTTGCCTGTTCGGCAGGGGTGATGGTTGAAAGGAACCTTCAGGACCTTTAGCCATCAACAAGTAGAGGACGACTCTGTCAGAACACCTCAGCTTCCACCAGACGTGTGGAGTGGGCACTCTCATTGCTATCCACATGCCGAAAACGCCCTGAAAGATCAGCATTTGTTATGAGACTTCGACGGCCTTTCGACCCTGCTTCCCCCCCCAAGCGTTTCAACCCACCCACCCGAAGACGACGACGGAAGACGGAAGATGAAGACGAATCGGACGACTCGAGGCGCTGTACATCATCCTCCTGGCCTTGTTCCACGACCTGCAGATCGTCACCATTGCCTATGATCATCAAGTCGCCGGCGCCAAACCCGAAACCCCCACCGTCCTGGGACCCTTGGTCTGCTGAGGCGGGGGGTGAGGTGGGCTGGGCAAGTCGTTTTTTAAAGAGTTTTTCATGGAGAAGGAGGAAGGCTCTATGCAACAAGGAGACATGGAGAAGGAGGGTCTTTCATGCTTTTGGGTGAGTTTTCCATCATGAACAACGTGACGCACGTCGTGAAAAAGACCATCCGGAACATGAAGAGTTCATTACATCCGGATCATGCTTCAGACCTTCGGGGGGGTGGCCTCGGGTGCCGAACAAAAGACGTGTCGGTTGGTGGAGCCGCTTTCAGACCTTCCGGACCCGGCACAGACCGGAACGGCGAGGCGACCGTCGAGGGTGGAAGAAGGATCGGTAAGACTTCTGTCACTTACAGGCGATCCATTCATCCCGCGATCCTTACATGTCATGTGTGTCATGAATCATCATGATATCGGTGACACACGGGATGTTTTTGCCCGACTCTTTTTGATCCCAACTTGGTCTTGAAACTCTCAACAATTGGACGCCAAACGGTTTGCGGGGTAGACCTGGTAGACCCACAGAAAGGAGCCATGTTTCGTGGGCTATCATCGGGTCGTACATTTACATGATTTCCTTGGAGTTTTGAGCAGGTTCTATAGCAGCTAGACCAGAAAGGGCCTCAGTCAAGATTAGTACCTGAATTTCAACCCCAGAGGCACTATTCTTGGCGACACATCAGTGTCTTTGGGTTCCATTGGCAGTTTTTGTTGGGTTTGCTTGGGGTTTGCACGGGTGGCCGATGTCTCCACCTTCAAAGTTGGTTTAAAAGGCTAATGTTTTAGTTTATATAGTTTTAGATGTACTGTATTTGGTTTGAACAAATCTTTGTATGTGCCATGTAAGAATGTGTATGTTTATGAACATAATCTGATGGTAGATCTTTTCCTAAACCCGGAGTGCTCAGGATTGCTTTTGCAGAGCTATTCCATGGGTATCTTGATGTTTATCCAGACGATGCTTGTCCGCAGAACTTGCATAGGTCGTCGTCCGAACTTGCAGGCACTTTGACTTTCACCTCTGGTGAACATCATTAACAGGTTCTTCAGATACCATGGCCACCTCTCACCAGTGCCATATTTTTTTGGTTCTTGCAGGGGAGCGTTCTCTTCTGCCACTGGCATGGAGGATGAAATTGTTTAAGATGGTTTGGCAGCGTATCATAGATGCTCTCGTTTGATCCGCAACTAGGATGTTGCTGGTGTCTTATGGCCACCTCTTCCTCTCGGATGAATATGGTGATGGCTACCACCAGTCCATGAGCAGCGAAATGGCTGGGAACGACGCTGAGCCGCAGAACCACCAGAGAACGTGCACATTTTTACAGTTTGTGTCCATCCCAGTTCTTGCAGCATCTTGATCCCCCCAAGAAGGTCCAAACGTATTGTGGATTTTTTAGCACATGCTGGTTTTTTGGTGGCGTCGTAGCATTTTCTATATATCGCTTGGAATGAGATCCTTTCTTCAGGAGGTCCTTGTAAACAGATCTTCTCCAGAGTCGACATGGACTCGTCGTTTCGTTCTTCAGGAGATGAACAAGTACATGGAGACGACGATCTTCCTGCAGATCTCCAACTCCTCCGCGATCCTCATCTTCTCCGCGCGGACCGTGGGTGCCTCGGCGCGGCGAAGCGGATCTCCGGTCCGGACCGACCTGGGGGGTGCCGGTCGGCAGGGCGAAGCATGAAATCAGAAGCGGAAAACGATGAACGGACAGAGAACCTGAAAACATCTGAAAAACATCTGAACATGTTCTTTTGGCCGGTCTGACACACACGTTTTCGTTGTTTTTCTCTCCTTCGACCGCAGTCTGACGGAATCGGGGTGGCTCCACCCAAGTGGCGAAGGTGAACATCGACTCTTGCAAAGGTCATGAACACTCTGCTTGAAAACAGGGTCGTGCTGCGGGACAAGACTTTCGCCGTCCCTGAAAACTTCGCCTCGCTGTTGGTAGTACGCTGCGGCGATTTCTCGCCAAACATGAACAACATGGTGGATCCTTTCAGCTTTGGCCCCTTGAACGTCAACAAATAACGACATCCTTAATTAACTTATTTGACTGATCCTGTTTTCGCACGTCTGCGGATCTGAGGCTTCTTCTTCAGCACAATGCCGGCGTGGCAGTTGACCTTCTCCACTGCCTTGGGACAGGTGCTGATCAACGTTTGGTGCTTGTGGGCACCAACAGGACCTCACCTGTTCCGTGTGGAGTGGAATGCGGGGCCGGGGAAACTCGGGGAAACGCTCTCTCTCCAGAAAAAGCCCCGAGCCCCTAGTAGCTTCTTGTTCTTAGCAGCCCGTAGTAGCGTCCTTGTTCCTAGTAGCGATGCCAGGAGCCCCTAGTAGCTTCCTTGCTCACAGGATACTTGCATACTTGCCAAGGATAGGCTACCAGAAGTGGATGTCCCTCACATTGGAGACATTCCTCGTCACACCATGTCAGCATGCAAGGGTTGGCCCCCCCCTTTGGGAGATTGGCGGGACGCTTTTCGATGCGGAGAAGCCTGCGAACGCCGATGTGTTTTTTACGAACGGAGCGTTCGGACGCGACTCGAACGGAAGGCTCCTGGCCTCGCTACGAACGGAACAAGAAGCTACGAACGGAACCTGGCATCGCTACGAGTCCGGAGCGTTCGGACGCTGGTTGGTGCAATCCCTCCCGGAAGCGGACCGAAACCACGGGTGACGACAAGACCCTCGGTGACGCCTGGTCCGACCCTCGGTGTGCCGTGTGTGGCAGGACTGGTGGACAAGTTGAAGCCTTCTGATGTGGCGATGGTGTGGCTCTACGATTTCGCGTGGTTGCTCTTCTTGGACCTGGTGAAGATGACCGCTGGAAGGCACTCCATGGTCTTTGACCGACTCCTTCTTCGGAGACGGGTAGAGGGCGCCGGATGCTCCCAGGTATATATATATATATATAGAGAGCCGTTAAATAGATAGAGAATCGAAAAGCAGATCCCCACTCAAAATGTCTTGGAAACCCTGCCGCTATCTATTTGTCTATATATATATACTGTAGGTAATGAATAGTACCTGGCATCGACCATCGGACCGTTTGCCCCGAACGGAGCGTCTCATTCGGCGAGCGCGCCACATTCGGACTGGGAGATGAACGAGATGGAGACAACACGATTTCTGACGAGATGAATCCGAACTCACAAGTACTATCCCATGAAGGATTGATGGTACATGAAGTCATGTGTTTTCCTTTTTTGCGCGTGCCCAAAGTGCCCAAAGAACCGCTGTGCCTCTTCACTTGTGAGTGGGCCACTCCAACTGACTGGCCCGTGCTCAGTAGGGAATGAGTGGTTAATGGAGACTCCTTTGGATCCATTCCCTCAATCCTTACTAATTAAGCCTGAGAGTCCAGTCATGACCCATTTTACCTTGGCAGTGGTGGATTATGACTCGCAAGTCGTGGGGTAAAATGAGTCATTTGGAAGTTCAGGGCAAGCACGTGAGCTCATCAGCCAAAAAACGCTGATGAGTTACTCCCCACATACTGCATCGAACGTGTGGTCGATCCTGAGGAGAGGATGTCGCTGGATGTCAAGTTTCGCTTTCATGGGATGTAGCCACATGGTTTGGACCACTTGGGACGGTCCCCGGTCATCTCCGGAGTTTGGTCCGAAGCACTTCCAAAGAACCTCCAAGTCGTGCCGCCGCCTCTTTCAGTCGAGCTCTCCAGCTCCGGACTTGGGGCCCTCGGCGGCGTTCGCGGCCTCACCGATGCAGGCTCTGGGACAAGTACAAGCCGGCGACCATCGACCGCAACCCCGCGTTGCAAGCGAAGGATCGCAACTCGCGGCGCATGTCCAACAACCTGCGACCCTCCTACATGTTGGCACAGGCGCAGCGACGGAGTTCTGCAAAACATCGGGGAGAGTATCGGAAGACATTGGGAGTGAAAGGCAAAATTAGTAATTCGCGTCCTTGTTCCTAGTAGTAAGGCCAGGAGCCCCTACAGTAGAAGCGTCCGAACGCTCCGGACTCGTAGCGATGCCAGGAACTCCGTTCGTAGCGTCCTCTACCACCCTTTTGATCATGTTTGGTCGTGGACTTTTTTTGGTAACTTTCAAACTCCGAAGAACGCTTGAAATCTACGAGACATTCCTTCAACATGATCTGATGGATGAACACACTCCTGCACAGACAAAGAACAAACGTTTTGGACGCCACAGTCGTTGTGCACAGTCTACGAGCGCCAGGACCCGCGGACACTGAGTCGTTGGACCGTCGAACTCATCCACCACGACCCACGACCCAAACGATCTGAACTGGATTGAACCGGGTGTCCACGAATTGGGCGGCAGAAGTGTATCACTCTTTCCGGCATGGACCGGCAGTACATGACTGGGGACCCAAGTTGGGTTCAAAAAGGAGTCAAAACTGAACTCTCAGGAACCCAACTCCTAGGAACAAGAAAAGCCGCTACGCGCATGAAACATGAAAGATCGTAGCAGTCTCAGCCGCTCGTCTCAGCACCGGAGCGGTTCATGATCGTACTTCCGTCCACGTGCCGTCCACCTTGGTACGCCACCGTGTCAGGTGGGTGGCGAAGAGTTGGGGAACAAAGTGGCACAGCTGCCGGAGGGAAGTCGCAATTCCGTGCGCATGTCGAGGACCTACAAGAAATGAAGGCTTCATTTGGGTGAGAGGGGTGTGGGTCAGCAGCTAAAGATAGATGTAGAAGATTGGGGATGGTGCGAAGAGTGAGGGAACTAGCTAGTGTGGAACTACTTAGCAAGCAACTAGTTCGAGAGTCCGTTTGGGTTGGGAAAAGAGCGTGGTGGTGATGGGTCTGTGACGAGAAAGATAGAAGCCCTCCTTCGAAATACCTTGAAGCTGGTGGCCATGTCAAGTAAGGAGACGCGCTCAATCTGGCCCCTGCACTGGCACTGGGAGGTCTCCCTATTTAAAACGTGTTTGCAAGACCACATACAACGCCCTAGAAGTCGAACCACCATTGTTTTAATAGCCGGGTCATCCCGAAGCACCGAGCTGTTTTACTAAGGGCAACGGTTGGCTCGGCTCCAGGTGACGTCAACCCGTCGTGGACGAGACCCACGCTTTCACCGAAGATTCCACGCTTGCACGACCGTTTCCTGAAGCAGGGTGGCCCCGGCCAAGAGGGAAACCACACACTCAAAAAAGACACCGGAAGAAGAAGAAGAAGAAGAAGAAGAAGAAGAAGAAGAAGAAGAAGAAGAAGAAGAAGAAGAAGTATCTAACTAGGTATCCTATCCCAGTGGCGCTGAAGCAGCTCTGTTTCCATGTGTTTCATACATGATCAACAGGATATGGTGATTTTTTGGTTCACCCGTGGATATCAGGTCCTACCCCTCCAGACATCGGGAAACCGGGGTTTTCAGATGCGTTTTGACAGCGGTTGGGGGAATGTGGTTGGGGAAATGTGATTCTTTTTTTTAGTCAAGACTCAAATACTCAAACACGGGGGGGGTCACCCTGACGCATTTTCGTCAATTTTCTTAGCCCTTCGAGCACACATCGATTGACAGATTTCAAGGGAAGATTGGCCTTCAGGCCATTTTCAGGGTGGGGACGGGGCCCAACACAAGATGATGGCTAGTGAATTAAACTGATTTCGCACTTCGATAGATACGACTTCCAAACCTAGGATCACTTAAATTTGATTCATGGTACCTGGCCCTTGCCCCACCCTGCGATTCTTCCCGGGTTGTTTCCGAACACTCCAAACCCTTGCAACAGACACAAGGCAAAAGACAGAGCTCGGGGGCTGCGATACCGTTGGTTGATGGCGATACCGCATGGCCCACAAATTAATGGCTCATTGAAAGTCCTGAACACATGCACCACTTTGGTGGCGATCGCTGATCAGGCTTTTCATGGTATATGATTCACACATCAAAAGTTAGGAACAACTTTGGAAGCAGGACATGGACATCAAATGACCATAAGACCTTACCTTTTGAAGCTTGAGGAATCACATTCGACTTCGGAGCTTCTCCTCCGTTTCTGCGCCTAAGCACCGGTCCGACTAAGCATCGGTCGTCTTCCGATGGCTGTCCTCCGGGTCTCCGGAGGACCGAAGGACCGAAGGAGCGATGGGTTCTGATGGAATCCTTTCCATCACTTTCCATGGTAAAACGATGTTCATTGGTCACCTGTGGCCAGTTTAACGTAGCGTCCGGCATCGCTCCGGTCACTCGGGACGCGATGCCAGTGTGGTTCCGTTCGTTTTCGAACCATGGTTCCTAGTAGTACGGCCAGGAGCCCCGTTCGGAGCGTCCGAACGCTCCGTTCGTAGCGGTTTTCTCCGGAGCCCTGAGGCCGATTGGACGGCTGGTGACCAAGGGAAACACCGCCGGATTGGAGTGAGCCCAGAGGGGCAGTGACTGGGCAGGGGTGTGAAACGTCGCATCCCAGTGGCAGGAGGGCCCCCCAACACCTTCTTCCAGCCCTACACGGAACTGGAATTGACTCTTTCAGAAGGACTTCTATATGATTTGTGCAGCTTGCGGTCACCGACCCCAGAAAGCTTGAAGTGAAAAGATCAATTATGCCAGGACCCCCAGTCGGGGTGGTTCATGGACACCCCTTAACAGCTAAGGGGCTATAAATAGACACCCCGACAGGAGGGTCCTGGTGGCGAGTTCATATTTACTTCGCTTCCGCTCCTCATCCTTCATCCACCTCAGTCCTCTGGCTCGCCCTGCTGTGGCGAGCCCCTTCCGCTCGCGCGCGCTTGTCGAGTCCGGGCTTTCCACTTTGAAGAACCACTGTGAAGGACGGTTCACCTTGTGGACGGTGCATGTCCGAGGAATTTCGGTCACTGTCATGACAATCCAAAAATTTATCCCTTTTAAGAGTTTGTGAAGGAACTCTGATCTCCTCCTTAACAGATAGATCTTAACAGCGTACTTCTTCGCGGGGGGGCGTCATCATCGGGCTGCACCGCACACTGCGCAAGGCAACCGTTTGACCTTAAAGCCTCTCTGGGAGAGCAACCGAGTGCTTGCGGAACAGGTTTGGGCCACAGGAAGGACCTCCGCGGAGGTCTAGAGCGGTCTACGGAGGTTTAGAGGTCTAGATTCGTCTCGATTTCTTCCTCCGGGAGGTCTGAGGTGGAAGTCCACCTCACAGGTCTCCATCCGACCCATCCGCCCCGTCGTTGTTGGTCGATTGAACAAAGACACCACTTCCACCGCCGAGCTGCCGGGCAGTCTCATCGTTCTCCAGCTGAGCAGGTGCCAAGCTGGGATTGCCCAACTCCACGCGTTCGCCGAGCCGCTTCGCCTTCCCGCTCCCCGAGCGCGAACCATCCGGGCAGTCTCCCCCGGTGGTGCCTCGCGCCGTGGTTCGAAGCCCCGCGTCGATCGACGGGTCAGCGGGACCTCAGCGGTCGACGCGGTCGACGCGGTCGACAGGTACGATCCGTTCGATGCCCCGGAGTTCATGGGCGATGAGATGGGTTCAGGCCTGGGTAACCCCTGAAAAACTGATTGGAGGTGGGCGATCAAGAAGCCAGTAAAGATGCGAGGTAATGCGAGGTAGAATGGTTGAACTTTGTTTCCAATGGGAGGTGATATTATCTTTTTTTTCCGGCGGCTTGGCCACTTGACAGGGGTCTCAGCCTTTTCGGTCCCTACACCTGCCGAAAGATCTGAAGACAAGGTTTAATAGTCACTGTAATTAGGCTGATTTCTGCAGTCGAACTATCTTATGTGAGCTGCTTGGGGATGGAGCTCTACGCCGATCAACTGACGCAAAAACGGCCTTTTGTCTACACGCCGTAACTGTCGGGGATCCGCAGTTAATGCTGAGCGTGGCAAGAAGGCTTCTTACTTTGGGAGGGCAAGAGTGCAAAGAGAGACACATAGCATAGATGGCCTTTTACTATTAGTTACCAGAGAGCATACTCTCAAGTGTACACCCAATAGGTAAATGGTACCAAACCGACCCATCTATTCTTCCCAAAAGGACATCACTGACAGATAGTCTAGACTCTTTGGTCCTCTTCATCTCATGCTTGTCTGGACTCGTACCAGAAAAACAAATCTTTTTCTGCAGAGCTCATCTCATTGACCAGACCGTGACCGTGTTGGGGTTCCGCACTCTTTGGTCCGTCCGCGCGGGTCCCACGAAATGGCCTCACGATGCAACTCTTGGAGGATCCCAAAGCCGCGCGTCCCCGCCTCTTTCTCCCCGGTCCCGACGTGCCGTAGCGAGGCGTTTTCAGCTGGATGCCGGTCACGGCGGAAGGCGGCGCCTTGCCCGAGGGCGAATATGCAGAGCAGGCCTTTGAGGTGAGGAGCGTAGGTGGATTGAGTGGCTGTGTGTGGATAGCTCGTGATTCTGGTGGTGGTCCATGGTCCTGGTCCTTGTTTTGGTGGTAAGAATTTGATTCCATTCATTTATATATAGATCTGATAATCTATTCGACGATTTTTCGTCATGGTCGTCATTAGTTGAACAACTTGGTTGACCATGTAAGCTTTTTCGATTGGATATGTCTCCTCTACACAGTTTGTCTTCCCGAAACGACTGGTGGTTTCGGAGGGTAAGGGACACAACCATGTCAACTTCTCCTCCGGGTATATCTCTCTCTCTCACTCACTCACTCACTCACTCACTCACTCTCTCTCTCTCTCACTCTCTCTCTCTCTCACTCTCTCTCAGTCTCTCTGTGTTCTTTGTAGAGACTGCCATTTGGTGGGAACCATCAGGAAGGTACCTATGCTCCCTGGTGGGTAGAGTAGATGAACTGTGAAACTATGGGGTTTCCATCTTTGATTTTCGGGGAAGCGATGAGCCAACCACGGATGGGGTTTCGATCGTGGGCGCGGCGGGCGTCCACTGCTGGAGGTGCCAGTTGATCGCTTGGAGTACTTGCAGGGCTCAGGGTTTCTGGAGGCCAAGGATCAAGAGGAGCGGTTTTTTCGGAGGACAAAGGACAAAAGAGCGATCGAGGCCAGTTGGATTCAGGGGGTGGATTTGGTGTTTTGGTTCGGTCGTCCAATCCTGATGTTGGGTTCTTTTTGGTTAGGACCGTTCGGAAGCGTTTCTTATATCCATGGTGTTGGTTTGGATCAAACACCTTTTATATAGAGGGTGTTTCTTCCATCCCGGTCGTGTTCGTTTTTCAGAGTCGGTCAAGGACCATCAAGGATATCACCAGCTTCGAAAAAGGTGTGCAAACTCCAGCAACTCTCATCCAACGGGGCCAGAGGAAACACCCTGATGGGACTGGGCCCGAAACCGCCGAGTCTCGAGGGTCCCTGCTGCTCCATCGGAGTTGAGGACAGCAGATCGTTTGTTGAATGGATTGATACTCTAAATCAATACTGGTTCTGTGTGAGTCAAGGCTACGAGTCGTTTTTTGTTTTCAGGGTTTGAGTGATACACTGATCATGTGAACCTCTCAGGATGGACACAATGGGGCATCAACGAACTCCCATTTGCCCTAGCCTTCAGGAATGCTTTGGATAGTTTTGCTCAACATGCCAGCTGGTACCCCTGTTGGAGGCTCCAAATAAGGAATCCGGCCGCGGATCGCAAGCCACATCGTCAAGTGAGAAATTCATCATAGTGTGGGCAGGGGGTTGAGGAAGCGCTTCGCAGGGTGTAGCACACCAAGCGTTGAACCGGAGGCTGTAGCACACCCGGGAAAGTGACAACCTCAAAGACCCGTTCTTGCCCAGGAAGGTGACCCCCCCTTCCTATACTCAAGATGCTATCCCGATCTTCGAGATGCTTCATCTTCCGAAAAAGAAGACAGACGCACCCACAAACGCCCTGTTTCAAACCATTTCGATGGGATTTCACCTGCCACCCTTTCACACGCGCCTTTCAAAAGGACTTCCGAGCCTACTTCGTGGGCGAGGCCGGACATGGGAGATGAGATGAGGATGACGACAGTTGTGGCCACCAGGTTTCGTCCGGTCGCCCAAAACTGGAAGGACCCCATGTGCCAAAGGTGCCACCTTTTCCGACTGCGCCACTCCATTCCGGACTGCGCCGGCCACACCAGGTTCCGGTTTCACGTGGTCCGTTCCGCTGGTGGTCCAGGGTGGGCGCCCGGGGGGGGAAGGACGGGCTGGCTCTGCTGTGGGGCTCTGTTTGGCTAACCTGAGAGACGAGGCTTTGACTCGATCCAAGAGATCGGAAGCGACGAAACATGATCACTCATAGCTCAGCGAAGACAAAGGGCAGAATCCTTGGAGATCTGCAGTGATCACCACCAGCACGCCGTCACTTTGCATACCAACATGTACTGAGGCAGAAGGATGCAATGCTAAGTAGGCAGTGAAATCGTCTCATAGGAAGTGCCAGCAGCAAGCGGATGCAATTCTCTTCAAATTCCGCACCATGATTACACGACATGTTCATCCAGGTCTGACATCATCATCATTATCACGCGGTTTGTTCTTTCCTTTTCAATCCTTTTTCCCAGTCTTTCTGTCCTTCAAAACAAACCTCTTTTGGCTTCTCCACACCGTTTCCAAACCCGCCCACACCGTTTCGCTCCGCCATGCGCTCGGCGTGCCCCTGTCCGCCGCCTCTGTCGCACGCCACCGCGAACCCGCCGCCGCGCGCGCCGCCGCGCGCGCCGCCGCGCGCGCCGTGGGCGTCGTCGACGTTCACCGCGTCGCGGCTGCGCGGTTGGGCGGCGCTCAGTGGCTTTGCAGGACGGGCCAGGTGGTCAGGCCTGGTGGTCTGGCATTGACCATAAAGCATTCCATTTGTGTTGTGAATGGATGTGGCTAAGAAATAGAACAGAGAGACCTATATATATGTATGTAATTACTAGAGTTGCTAGTGACTAGTGGGTTTGTATGGTGCCGGGTGGCTAGTGGGTTTTTGTTGGTGTAGTGTCGGATCTTTTATTCCCCGAAGCTTTGATGGGTTCAGTGGGGTGGCTTTCTTCATCAAAAGATATCAAGAGAGAGGGATGGGATGTGTCTGGATCGGCCTTTGTTTAGATGCTCCAAAATGACTCTGGGATGAATACTGTTACACCTTTGATAAATAGAGCCCCAGGCCCATATGGAGATGTAGAGTCATCCTGGTAGCGGGTTTGATTCATCAACAGTCAACACTACTGGGTGGACTTATCCTCTGCTATCATGTGGTCTATCCAGAAAAACCTGCTGGTGGAAGTTTTGCTGATGTCCGGCCGGCTGGCTGTGGAGATGTTTGCCATCATTTTCCAATATTTTTTCCCAATCTTATTGGAGATACAGTGATACCCGGAGATGTCACTGAATGGTCTACCAAAGTTTACCAGGTGAAGCTTGGAGTTTGCTGACGAACACATGTCCGATTTGCATGCCCAACCCAATGGAGCCCCTCTTCAAACACCCCAGACCTTCAATCCATTCCCAGGTCGGGTCCGGGACACCACCAACTCTGCAACACCACTCTGTTGCGTCCCTTGAGATGAAGCCGTCGCATCCCGCGTCCGGGCCTTCCCGTGGCCTGTCGGCCGTCCATCTGCTCCGTCCGGGCGCCTTCCGGGCGCCGTCCGCCGCTCGAGGACGGAGGTGGAGCCACATGAGGCGATCGGCGAGGCGCATCGTCGAGGTGAGCTGGGAGGACTTGCAACGTGGCTGGGACGAACGCACGCGCTGACGTCAGGCTGACGCGGTTGGGCCGGTGGCGAAGCGCGTTGAAGCGCGGGTATTGGGCGATGCGGGCGTAGGTTGGAGGTGGGCGGTGAAGATGCAGATGGTTCCTCCTCCCATTTGGATGGTGGAACCCGTCTTGCAGGGGCCTAAGTTCACTTCCATGATTGTTTGGAGTGGGATTTGGAAGTTCCCGAGCCTGAAAAGACCACCCCTTGCCTGTGTTCTTCTTGGTACCAAAGACCAACATGCCATATTTTATGGTATTGCACCTACTGTCCTTTTGCCAAGTGAATAGCTCAGGTTTCCAGTTTTTCAAGTCCCAATTCCTCAGATCAAACATCGGATCGGACCACAGCTGTTTGGGAGTAACCTTCCACTGCCAGATCTATTGATCTATCTTAGCCTAAAGGAGAACAGCGCATCTGCGAACAGTTCCATCGTACATGGCCCAGGATCTGGGTATGTAGATTTCAATTCATTGAGAGTTGCCGGACCTGGATCTGCCAGTAGGAAATCCGATGGTTTCGACCGACCAAAAGGTCGGAATCAACGAAACTGTCGAGCCTCGTCGGTCCGATCCCTAGGCTGTACCTAGAGCCAGCCTAGAGTCTTGACAAGATGAGCAGTCTTTGTAATATACAATTATAATACCCACATACATTGAGCACTTCCAAAGTGAGATGTGGATGAACATCAACTAGTGCACATGATGTACACATATATGTACACATCATTAACACATCATAAACACATCTCACCTTTTTCGCGAAAGACTTGGTCTGTCTAGCTGAGGCCGTAGCACTTGTAAGAGTCTAGCACTTGCAAGAGATTTGATCATGCTTTAGCACTTGGGAGATTTGATCAAGCTTTAGCACTTGGTCTGTCTAGCTCAGGCTTTAGCACTTGTAAGAGTTTTTGCATTTGCGAGAGACTTGACCAAGGTTTAGCACTTGCGAGAGACTTGACCAAGTTCTGTCTTGACAGCTCGCTCTTCAATTATCTTTAAAGCCGGGGCGGACCAAGCGAGAGCACGTGAGAAGCAACCCTCTCGCAGGATCCGGCCAGTCGAGTGCCCAAACGTGTAGCGAAATGCAAATTTGACGGGTGCTGGACGAAGCCTCTCGCAGGATCCGGCCTGTCGAGTGCCCAAACGTGTAGCGAAACGCAAATTCTCTTATGCGGCGGCGCGCCCCTTTTGCAGAACCCGGGGACCAATTTAGGCATATAGAATCAGCAGCAATAGAAATCAAAGTCCCTGAGTGCGTTCCTGACCAGGAGCCGCTCTGGGAGCGCGTCCACAAGCAAGTCCGAACTGCGGCGGCGCAACGCAAAGCTGCAGGAGGCGGCAAATACATTGCGTTGAACCAGCTCGGCCATTCTTTGTAAGCTGGGGTGTTGGAAGTCTGTTGAGTGAACCGTTGCGCAATATTGAAGAGTTGAACAATGCGTTGCAACAGTTTGGACGTCAGAGGGCATGTTTTCCTCGTCCATTTTTTTCGGCTGACTCTTCGAAAACAAAGCGCTTGCCGACAGCCGGTCGCTCGTGCTTTCCAGGACGTGGACGCGCTTACCCGCGCCGTGGGGTTTAGGGTGTGCAAGCACAAGGCACCTTGCCACTTGATTCCATTTCTCCACACGGCTCCCTTCCCCTTTCGAAACAACCCGTGCGTGGTTTCGTCGCTTCGAACAAAGTCCGGGCTCAATGCGCGCCGCAAACGTTTGTTTGTCGGCAGGCACAGACGGAGTACCTGAAGGCGGACCTTGCAAAAGCAAGGGCCGCTCGACAGGACCCAACATGGTCCCGGTGGGACTTTTTGTTTTCCGCTTCAAAGTCTCGTTTTCAGTGTGACACTGGCCGAGACCTCCCTGCACGCCTCTAAAGAGAACCATAGTTGTATGCGCTGGCATCATTTGCCAATAGTTCACGTCAGTGAAGAAGGTGAGGAAGCCTTCCTTACTTGGATGAGCGCAGCGTTTTCACGAAGCCGTGCAATGCTGGCAGGCTGCTTGCGCGGAACTGACAGGCCAACAAACCACAAAAAGAAGAGGGCGGAAGATTTTTGTCACATCTGTGCTCAACCAAATGCATAGGGCACAACGAGCGGAGTGGAAGTATTATAGACTGTTGTTCGCAGAGGTTCGTACAGACTTTTCATGTTCGTGCTAACCCTGCGGGGTTTTTTACATGATCTTGGAGCTCGTGGAAGATTTCTTGCGTTATTCCCCAGGGGTTCATGCTAACCGTTTATTTCGCCATTGCAGAAGTTCGTAGTCGTAGAAGGTTTGCAGACGGCAGTGCGAATACTGGACAGTTTGAGTGCGCTGTGCGCTTTTGGTTTTGCTTCGCTACTAGGGTGGAGGCCATCACTAATAGGGTGCAAGTCATCGCTACTAGGGTGGAGGCCATCGCTACTGGGGAGGCCATCGCTACTAGCTATTAGGTTAGGACTGTGGAACCAGAGTTTGATTTGAAGTTGGAGGTGCACGCCTCGCGCTTACCTTTAACGGCGGGGCACTTGCGGACGGCTGTGAACAACATCGTCCACCAGCGACCTGACGCTGGTGCCACGGCGGACCTGGAGCGGCAGCAAAGGCCCGATTGGGACCACGTCAGCCGTTTGCGAGAGTAGAGCTTCCTGCTGCAGCTATCCTACAATGTTCGCAGCCGCAAGCCATTCTGGCTGCCGCTCCCGGACTGGTGGACGTGTCGTGGAATGAGCCCCGCTGGGTGGGACTTTGGACCCATCAATCTGGGGCTTAGGTTCCGGAGCAGGTTCCGGAGGAGGTTCCTGAGCAGATTCTGGACATCTTTTCGCGACATCTTTTTTCGAGGTGGCTGTGAAATTGGCCTTGAACTGTTGGGGACTTTTCTTGGGCTTATTTGACTTTCTTCCCACATGATTGAGACCAGAAATTGTTCGACTGTTTATCCAGCAATTCGGTATACGAGCTGGCTTTGCACAGTCATGAGGCAGACCGTCTGCGGCAGACCAACTTCACCCAACTGATTACAGAACTTGATTTTGCGACAGTAACCGAAGTCAGTGCGAATGCAAAACTTAGTTCAGATACTTCGGAGCTGCTGCCAATGCAGGGTGCAGTCCAGAAAAGTCTTTTGCGCGCTTTTGCTATCTGGGCTCTTTGCTGGTGCGATTTTGATAAGTCAGTAGTTGTTTTTCCACAGATAGCGACAGCTATGGGTTCTTACTTCAAATAACAATGAGCTGGCTCTAAGCGCTTTTGATGCTGGGTGCCGGTGACGGGTGCTGGTGCTGGCTGTGGTGCTAAAACTGGGTGCTGTGAGCTGGTTGTGCGCGTGGTGGAGACAGGGTGCCAGTGCTGGGGGCCGGGTGCTGGTGCTGGCTGTGCGTGTGGTGGAGACTGGGTGCCGGTGCTGGGTGCTGTGAGCTGGCTGTGCGCATGGTGGAAACAGGGTTCCGGTGCTGGGTGCTGGTGCTGGCCGCGCGTGGCGGAGACAGGGTGCGGGTGCTGCGTGCCCGTGCTGGGCGGTGGAGACAGGGTGCTTGGAAAGGTGGCGAACTGCGGGGCAGTTGACTTTTGGAGCCAACATGGTTGCGCACGCTCTCATTCCAAAGCTGTGGATGATGGAGCTTTGCGTGAACGTCTGTATGCCTTAATGGCTGAAGATGATGTAATTTTAGGGTTTGTTGTTGTTAGCCGGCGGGCGGGGTAGGCCGCTAGTAGCTATTGGGGTTCTTACTTCAAGTATTATGGAAGAACTGCCTGTGTGCGTTTTCGAGCGTGCCGCTGCAGGATGCCACTGCTGCGGCGCCACTGCAGGTGCCACTGCAGGAGTCACTGCAGGGTATTGCTGCTGAGTGCGCTTGCGAGCTGAGGGTGCCGCTGCTGTGTGCGCTTGGGGTGCCGCTGCTGCGCTTGGGAGCTTGGGTGCTTGGGTGCTGGTGCCGTGCCGCTGCTGTGTGCCTTTGGGAGCTTGCGCGCTGGTGCCGCTGCTGTGTCACCTAGGGGCTTGGGTGCTGTGTGCGTGGGAGTTTGGGTGCTACCTTGCCGCGTTGGTAGTGATCCTTCACGTGATGTTTTAGGTACTTACATGTTTTGTGTGCCATTTTGGTTCTAGGATACGTCAATGTTCGGCTGGCAGTTACCACCTGCGAACGGTGAATCTGCCATGCTGAATGTTGATACATGACAGCATGCTTGAGATATCTTCTCATGTATAGCCTTCTTGTAAGTCAAATGTGTTTTGTTCACTTTAGCTTGCGCTCACTTCATTGACTTTCCATGGTTTTTGCTTTTGATGTTGCAGTTTCCACACGTATTCAAACCCGCAGCCCATTTTCTGATGGACACTCCTTTCCGCGTGAAGCGATACCGGGGGGCCTCAGGACTTGCCGTCACGGCCGAAAGCCGCTAGTTGCACTCCTATTCATAGTAGAGAACTGGCTCCAGATCGAATCGACGGTCTACCTAACACTAGTGCAGTTCGACCGCCTTTGTGCTTTGCTGATAACCCATCCCCATTTTTAGCTCCTCAGATTTCGCCTCGTAGAACTCAAGTGTTTCAGAACTTTTAGCCACTCCCACCGCCAGTCTTCAAGTCTGCAAGACGCAGTCAGCCGTATCCATCCACTTGTCATGCAGAGCATGTTCATGACGTTGGATCACCTTCGAGTTCATTTGTTCCCGCCCCCGTGTCATCGCCGCCTTTAGGCTCACGACAGAAGCATGCCAGTTCGAGCCCTCAGAATGTCTCCCAGCAAAGCTTGGAGTTCCACCAACGGAAACTTGCAGAGTCACTGTTTGAACAGGTATGTGCATTTTGCTTTTCATTTAGTGACATTCTTTCAAGCAACCAGTCACTCAGCCTTCGACCAGACTTAATCTCCTTACTCATTCGTAAGTATAGCCCTAGTACTATCAAACGGTATTGCATATCCTTTTTGAATCTTGCACAGTGGCTTTGTGATCTTGACTTGGCATGGCAATCCTGTTCAAC